TGACACTGAAATAAGGCGGGAGAAAGTGTTTTACGCTCTGGCGATACCAGATATTGTTGCAGGAACTGGCGCAAAGCATAAGACCCTTAAGTTACGTCTCTGCTACTAGCACTGGTAATACAAATTCCATATTACGAATTCATTTTGTCAGAAAACATACATATAATCAAATCAGCTCTTTTCTGGATATTGTGGGTGGCTCTTAAAAGAGCCTTTGTTGTCTGTTTTGAAATGTCTCCGATGTCTCCTAAAAATCCGAGAAGAATTTACTTGGCCTTCGCTTTATGGCTCTCGGTTTTCTTGGGAAGAAGCACAGCCTGGATGTTAGGCAACACTCCTCCTTGAGCGATAGTGACTTTGCCCAGGAGTTTGTTCAGCTCCTCGTCGTTGCGGATGGCGAGCTGCAAGTGGCGAGGGATGATCCTGGTCTTCTTGTTGTCCCGGGCAGCGTTGCCGGCCAACTCCAGGATCTCAGCAGTCAGGTACTCCAGCACAGCAGCCAAGTAGACGGGCGCTCCGGCTCCGACGCGCTCTGCGTAGTTCCCTTTGCGCAGAAGACGGTGAACACGACCCACGGGGAACTGCAGCCCGGCACGAGAAGAGCGAGTCTTGGCCTTGGCCCGAGCTTTTCCTCCTTGCTTGCCGCGTCCAGACATGATACCAACTTCTAAAGTAGAACAACAACTCGAGATGAGAAACCGGAAAAGTAAGTCGCAACATGGCGATTCTGGCCCTTTTATACCCTCCCTGAGACTCAGCCTCGGCAATTTCGATTGGCTGAACGCTGAAAGCCACCACAGCGTCCAATGAAAGCGCGGCTTCTCATTGTGCCCAATGAAAACGCCGAGGTCTCACGTCACCCATTGTGATGATTGGTTGGTTTCCAGAAAACCTTTTGTGCGCGTTGTGCTTGCTTAATCAGGGCGCCGAAAGGAGCCAATAGGAAAGCGGGAGGATTGTGCGCCGAACCGCGGGGGGACGGTGAATAAATAGGCGTGCTGCAAAGCCTTTGCTTGCATTTGTTTTTTCACCCATATTCTCAGTTGGTCGCAGTTTCAGCGTAGCAGGATGCCGGAGCCAGCCAAATCCGTGCCTGTTCCGAAGAAGGGCTCCAAGAAGGCCATCACTAAGACGCAGAAGAAGGGCGACAAGAAGCGCAAGAAGAGCCGCAAGGAGAGCTACTCCATCTACGTCTACAAGGTGCTCAAGCAGGTCCACCCGGACACGGGCATCTCGTCCAAGGCCATGAGCATCATGAACTCCTTCGTCAACGACATCTTCGAGCGCATCGCGGCCGAGGCTTCCCGCCTGGCGCACTACAACAAGCGCTCCACCATCACCTCCCGGGAGATCCAGACCGCCGTCCGACTCCTGCTGCCCGGAGAGCTGGCCAAGCACGCCGTCTCCGAGGGCACCAAGGCCGTCACCAAGTACACCAGCTCCAAGTAATTCCTTATTCTTGGCACAGCAGCTTTTTTAAACAAACCAACGGCTCTTTTAAGAGCCACCCACTTTCTCTGCAAAAGAGCTAAATTTGCTAGAAAAACTGCGTGAGCTTTATGTAAGAGGCTTTACTTGTGTGTTAACTGTCTTTTGGAAATAAATGCTAGTTAGTTTACGTTATTGTGTTATGAGATACTCCTAAAGCTAAGCTTTTCCTTTTGAGTCTTAGCCTGCAAATGAGGGGAGAAGCTCTGTTTCGGTAGGGAGAGGACTTCGATTGCTCAGAGGGGACACATTCACCTTAGCTAAGATGCAGTAATTTAATTTCATTAATTGCTATTACCTTTAAGTCGTGGCACAGTTCTTATCACTTGTGAATTAAACAAAAGAGCACCAGACTTTTGGAAGATATAATCACATAAATATATATCCCTTCACCTAATGCTTTAATGGCCTGAAGCTCCCACCTGAAAAGTTTACACTCCTGGACAGATGAATTTTTAGAATCCATCTGGCAAGTTATTTCTTCCTTTCTCTACTTCTCTTACCCGTCTCAATGCATTTTTCTTCTATTCATTTTTTCCCCTCCCTCCCCATTTTATACAAGCCCTTTTCAGTCTCCACTAGATTTCTCAACTTGGCCTGTTTTTCCTATGTCTCTTAAAGTCAAAAAGCTCATACTGTTTTGAGTGCTCCAGAAATTAACTCCCTTTCCTCAGCTGTCTCCAAATCTCCAATTATTGAAATCACCAACTTGTTTCCATCTCGCCTTCATTCTCTCCTTCCAAAGTCTGCTACACAGAAATGTGTTTAGTGGTATGTTTGGCCAATAAGGCAGATGTTTCACAGAAACATTTCTCTATTGTTGTGGGGAGGCAGTTCCCAACCAGTCTTCTGATTAGGGTTACAGCTGTTCTTATTTCAAAGTCAGTATGCCAATTCCTTTTCAATCAGTAACGTTTTGTGTAAAGTTGCATTTGTTTGGGGGGACAAGTTTTAGTGTGCACCTAGGTCTCAAAATATTCTGAAAGGGGACATCAGGGCTGCATGTTAAATTTGCAGACTTTTCTGGGAGTACTAGCACTCAGCAATAACTGATTGGAACACCTGAAGTCTGATTAGATTCCGGTCCCTGCTGGTAACCCATCGATTCAATAATCATGTGCAGTAGTACTTACTCTTTATTTACAATCTTTTTAACTTGGGTCACTCAAAGAAAACTTCTGCATACTGTCTGAAATGGGGATCACATTGGTTGCAGGAAGGTATATGAAAGATTCGCAAGGAACTATTATAGGTTAGTTGGAAAAGTTGAAATAAACAGTTCAAATCACAGCTCAGCTAACCAAGGTGACCTCGGGCCAGCCACAGTCAACTTTACGTACCTCACAAGGTTGTTGTGAAGATAAAAATGGGGAGGGGGAGAACCACATTGAACTCCTGGTTGGAAAGGTGGTATATAAACATAATATAAGAGTATGTGTAATAGTGCTTTAATGACAAGCATTTCGCAGAAGCAACTTCACAACTTCTTTGCCACCTCTTAATGCAGCGGTCAACAAGCTTTTTCAGCCATGGTCGGGTCCACTGTCCCTCAGACCATGTGGCAGGCCGGACTATTTTGAACGGGGGAAATGAACAAATTCCTATGCCCCACAAATAACCCAGAGGTGCATTTTAAATAAAAGAACACATTCTACTCATGTGAAAACACTCTGATTCCCATACTGTCCGCAGGCTGGATTTAGAAGGCGATTGGCCGGATCTGGTCCCTGGGCCTTAGGTTGCCTACCCCTGTCTTAATGTAACATAGGTTTGCTAAACAACTGTAGATTGTACACTGGTTATCCATGTTGCTGTATTCACAGGAGCAAAGGCAGGCAAGCAGCATGAGGAGCTTCAACTCATGCTAATGTGACCATCCTATAGGAACATGGGAAGAGCTTGTTGGGTCAGGCCAATGGCCTATCTAGCACAGCATCCTGTTATCACAGTGGCCAACCAGATGCCTGTGGTAAACCAGCAAGCAGAAGCTGAGCATGAGCGCTCTCCTCTCCTGCAGTTTCCAACAACTTGTATTCAGAAGCATTTGTATATATAAAAGAATCTGTTTCAAACACTGCATATTTATGGTCCCCCAGTACTTTTTTTCTTTGGATCATCCAGTGTCTTTGAATCTACAAAATATCTTGGTTCAGCCCCTTTTGACACAATCTGTGATAAAGTGCCTGGGTATTATCTGAACATCGACTGTTCAGCAACCTCTTTTGTGTTAAAGAGGTGGTTAAGCTGACAACACTTTGTTGAATTGATGTTACACTACCTGAAGAAATCAGGCTGCAAGATATCTCAGCAATTGGGTGCAGTTTTGCAGCACCAGTGATGCCCTGCTGTCCGTCTAAATAGCTGGCCTCAAGTGAATATACCAAAGATGTATCATGAAAGTGTTTTGTCCACAGCTCCACTCATTAGGACCTTTTCAACACATCTTCATTAAACTTTGATAAGTGTTGAGGATCACAAAAGTTACCTGAGATCTCTAGGTTTAAGTGGTCTCCTATTCTGCTGTGTATAATGAAAAGGCTACAGCATCCGTGCTTCTGTTGGCTAGGTGAATAAACAGGTACAGGAAGCCTGCTAGAAAATAAAAATGGGCAAATCCATGGATGTAGCATTTGCACACACACACAAAAACTTTTTGTGCGTCTGTCAAGATCTTTCCTGTTCACCCTCCCTTTACAAATATGGAGTGTATTCTCCCCCACCCCTTTTGTATGGGCACAATAGACCGCAGGCAGTCTTCACTTTCTATGAAAAACATCAAGAAGTTGGGAAGCATGATGGAGGAAGGAAAATAACAATAAATGTTAGTGTCTTGGAATCTTAGCCACTGTTCTTTCCTGGACATAGTACAGTACTGGTACATAGCTAGGAAGGCTGGCTATGTTCATCCTTACTTTTTAAGCATCTCAGTTGGAAAGGTTTTTGGAACCCCCAAATTCCAGAACAATTTGGGGTGCAATTGTATATACACACTTGGGAGTAAGCCCTGTTGTACTCAGTGGAATTTACTTCTGAGTGGACAGTGCTTATAGTTGCCCTATTGATTTTCCATAGCTGTGTATCTTGTGATATATACATAATTAGGTTGGGCTTCATTTTATAATTGGTTATTATTTGTTGCTCGTTGAATTCTGCGTACATACATACTGCCACCAGCCGGTTTCAGCTATTCTGTCATAGCAGCACAGAAATATACAGTATATATAACGGGAATGATATCTTGCCGCCACGAAAACGCTAAAGCGGGAAGACTGTGAAGGCGCCAACAACAATTTCAAATTGAAAGGACAACGAGGGCGCCGATTGGCTGGTTTGAAACTACCCAAACCTCTTCTCATTGGATAGAACCAAACTTGCCCGCCAAGGTTATTTTCCCTGGGAATTGAGCGGGAGGCTCCGCCTCTTAGTTTTCATTCTGGTCGGATTGCATTGTATATAAACCGGCTTGGACGGCGGCAGAATGTCATTTGGTTGGTGCTGTAGTATTTGTGAAGATGTCAGGACGTGGAAAGGGCGGTAAGGGGTTGGGGAAAGGAGGCGCCAAAAGGCACCGCAAAGTTCTCCGCGACAACATCCAGGGCATCACCAAGCCCGCCATCCGCCGCCTCGCTCGCCGCGGAGGAGTCAAGCGCATCTCCGGGCTCATTTACGAGGAGACCCGGGGCGTCCTGAAGGTCTTCCTCGAGAACGTCATCCGCGACGCCGTCACCTACACCGAGCACGCCAAGAGGAAGACGGTCACCGCCATGGACGTAGTGTACGCTCTCAAGCGCCAGGGCCGCACTCTGTACGGCTTCGGCGGCTAACTGCTCCTTCGCTTCCACAGACCAAAACATCAGCAAAAGGCCCTTTTCAGGGCCACCCACCTTTTCCGGAAAAGAGCCAGTCGCTGTCTTTGTTCTAATACAAATTCAATAAATCGAGCAGTTTCAAAAATAAAAGTGGAGGGGAGGAAACTCTTAGAACATGCTGACCAGGGATGTTTTATTTGCCACCTTAGAAGCCTAATAACTGGCCACCATTCATATAAAAATAATTGGCCTCTATTCCTGCGTAGTGTCTTATTCCCTTTAAATGCTTTGCATTAGTTGCTCTCTTCGTCTCACTGGGTCAAAGCAGCTGTTCTTGATTGCCAAGTGACTACTTTAAAATAAACTATTGGTCAAAGAATGCAGTACGCTCTTGTTTGCAGAACTGATGGCTTCGCTTTAGAAAAGAAAAAAATTGCGTCATCCTTTATATACTGACAATACACGCCGTGTCGCGTGCAGCAGAGTGGCGCAGCGGAAGCGTGCTGGGCCCATAACCCAGAGGTCGATGGATCGAAACCATCCTCTGCTAATATTTTTTTTTTTATTTTCCTTTCTTTTACAATCACTTTTTTTTAAAAGTGCATAAATCAATGTATTGGGGTTCCTTCCTAAAATGCTTTCCTGGGAGTCAGTCCTTCTGTACTCCAGTAAGACTTCTGAGTAGATTTGCATAAGAACAATAAAAACGCTGCTATAAGTCAACGAAGCAAGAAATTAACGACGGGCTTTATTTTCTTCCTGATTTCCTGCAAAGTTCCACCGAGGAAGCCTCCACCCTCAGCTCCCCATAACTTTATTGCAGCGCCTATTTTATTTTAAATAAAAATAGGGAGCGACATTAGAGGTAGGAGAAAACGTGTTTGTACAAATAAATAGAAATAAATTAGCAGAGGATGGTTTCGATCCATCGACCTCTGGGTTATGGGCCCAGCACGCTTCCGCTGCGCCACTCTGCTGCACGTGGATTGGTCTGTATTGTCACTATATAAAGGATGAAGTCTCTCGCTGAGTTCTCCAAAAGCGCAACGAAGTAACTTCAGGACCTTACTTTCGGGAGAGGAATTCCTGCATGAAGTGGCAGATTAAAATCGTCAAGCCTAAACCCTGATGCTTCCTACTTTACAATCCTACCTGTGTGTGATTCAATGGGTTTTATCTTCAAAAAAGAATTTCTATCTATATAAAGACACAGGGGGATACATACCTGCCCGGGAGCAAGTCCCGTTCAAGTCACTATGACTTTTACATCTGAGATAGACGTGCAGGATTGCGCCGTCCGTCTCAGGCCCTGGCGACTCAGCTAATTCTGTGCTAATTTTAATCAAGGGGTAGGGGAAGGAAAATGAAATCATCCTTTATGAAAAGGTGATGTGTAGTAAAAAAACCCATACAGAAATGCTGGTTATTTTCTCTTGCCTTGGTGTGTGTAAAATATAAGCAATGAATTTTGTAAATAAACTTGTTATCTGTGTTCGTATGTTATCTTTCAAGGTGCCTCCTTAGGGGCAAATACTTTCCATGTTCTGCACGCACGTCTGATTTTACTTTTACTTTTTATTTTTGTTCCTAGTAAACAGGATGGCTTATTTCTAGCCTCGGGGGCCCTGCAACATTTGATCCCACTTTGAGTCAGTCACTTCCAAGGTTGTTGTTTCTTTTTGTTTTTAAAAAGAAGATCTGTACATGATTACCTTGCAGTAAGCAGATGGATGGCTTGTATGTGTTTCATGAAAACTTTGCTGCAAAGCACCTCTTTCCTGTTTGTGGAGCAGGAGGTTGATTTGGGATGGGGGAACGATTGCAGTCGCGCAAGAAATTCACAAATGAATTGGCATTCTTTATAAATACACAAACGACTGAAAACTGAACTGCTCTCCAGTCCTGCCCTGCCTCAAATATCCAGGGATGGGTGTGTTATTCTACTTACTAGATAGACAGTAGGTGTGGGGAACTTTTTGTTAGTATCCCAACACTTTTAGCCCATCCTCATGTTGCTGAACTATAACTCCCATCGGCTGCAGCAAACCTGGTGGGAGTTGTAGTTCAGCAGCATTAGGAGGTCCAAAAATGCCTCCCTCCTGCTCTATAGCTTCCCCCAACCTACTGGCCTCCAGTGCTTGGTGCTACAACTCCCACCAGCTTGTGTCAGAATGCAGGAGTGCTAGTCCAAAGCATTTAGAGGGCACCAGGTTGGATACGGTGGGTCCGCTACACTAAAAACAAAAAAGCAAGAGTTTTAAGGCACCTTCAGTCCCAATATTGTTATGCAAGAAGCTTCTTGTTGACCACAATCTGGTTTATTTCATTGCATACACCGGGTCTGGGGTACTTTTGATTCCCAAGATGCTGCTGAGATACAACTCTCATCATGCCTAGTCCTTAGCCAGGCTTGCGAGGGATGATCAGAGTTGCATTTCGGCTACATCAGCTACATCTACTCTTCCTAATGGTGATTCCCAGCATGTGGTGTTCAAAGGTATATTGTCTCCAACAGCACTCATGGCTGGTAGTGGTATTCTCCATGGTAGTCTTATTGTGCCGATCATTAATCTCTATGGAGGACATGACGTCATGCCAAAGAACCATCTAGTCCAGGCCAGCGGTGTTCTTATAGTGGTCCACCAGCTGAGGGATGCCTAGATGAAGCCTGGGAGAGACATGATAGTTGTCTTCAAATATCTGAAGGAGTGTCTCTACCCCCATCGTTCTACCCAGACACTGAGGTCAAGTGCCGAGGGCCTTCTGGTGGTTCCCTCACTGCGAGAAGCCAAGTTACAGGGAACCAGGCAGAGGGCCTTCTCGGTAGTGGCGCCCTCCCTGTGGAACGCCCTCCCACCAGATGTCAAAGAGAACAACTACTACCAGACTTTTAGAAGACATCTGAAAGCAGCCCTGTTTAGGGAAGCTTTTAATGTTTGATGCATCACTGTAGTCTAAGATTTTGTTGGAAGCCGCCCAGAGTGGCTGGGAAAGCCCAGCCAGATGGCGGGGTATAAATAATAAATTATTATTATTATTATTATTATTATTATTATTATTTGACAGGCTGTCACACAGAATATGAGGAAGCTTGTGCCCTACACGGGGCAGGCTGGCATAGATAACCAGCCTCACATAGCCAACATTCTTAAGTATAATTAATGCACATAAGGGTTAAAACCATAGAGTAAGATGCCTGGCCAGGCTTAGCTCACCTTGGCAGGCACTAGGTAATCAAGCCTTTCCCCCCTTGTTTACCTGAACTCAGCATGTGAAGAGGTCTCAGCTGGTTGTGCCAGCTTAGCTGTATAGCTCTAACAAGCCCCTCCCGAGTTCCTATACCAATAATTTAGAAACTTTCACCACTTTGCAACTTTTCTGACTAACGTATGGAAAAACACATGAACTTGACCTTTGAAGAGTTTGTTGGTAAATTGATTATTAACTTGCCAAACGTGTGGTCTTTTCATATGGTGGGGGAAGAGGGGTTTTGGAAACTCCCTAGAAGCAGTTTTTGGCTGTCCATCAGGGAAGATGAAAGTTCCTTTGACTTGTCTTGAGAGGTGAGGGGCTCTCCTTCACATATAACTTTTAAAGAGGTTTAAGCACCATCACTCATGAAGGAGTCATAGCCTGCATTGTAGGATTCCTGCATTGAGCAGAAAGCTGAACCTCCAAGTTCCATCTCCGAAAACCAACCCTCAAAAGTAGTGCTATTATCCATGCACGAGTATGCCATGTAAGAGCTAGTGTGGTGTAGTGGTTAGAGTGCTGGACTAGGAGCTGGGAGACCAGGGTTCAAATCCGAACTCAGTCACGAAGCTCACTGACCTTGGGCCAGTCACTGTCTCTTAGCCTAAGCTACTTCACAGGGCTTTTTGTGAGGATAAAATGCAGAAGGGGGGAAACCATGGATGCCACTTTGAGCTCCTTGAAGGAAAGGTGGGATGTAAATAAAACAAAGGAGAGACAGCGCTGGATAAATTCCAGAGTTATTAAGACCCTTACTCAGAGTACATGCCCGCCTGCTTTGAAGCCTCCACCTTTAATCTCCTGGTTCATTCTCAGCTGGGTCCCTGTGCTTTTAATGTGACAGAAACTCACCTGGTGAAATGTTCCCGGGGTGAAGATGCCATGATGGGTGGGAGAAACTTCACCTGTTGCATTTTTAACCCAGGCACAAAAGCCCTGCCTGAAAGAAGGGGGTCCCTTCCCAGTGAACGGCTATTAGCATCTCAAGATTTCTTCTCCACCACCATCCCTCTGTAGGTAATGTAAGGGGTCAGAATCCAACACGTCTGCCATGAAATTGCCAAGAACCTGGGGCTGTTGCAAAGAATAAGGTTCTTTGCAGGTGGTTGTAGTTAGACAGAAGCAGAAAGCATGAATGAATTACTGGGTTACTGCAACATGCTCTAAGAGGGGCTTTCCTTAAGTGCAGAATGCTGCAACACAATCGCTAACAAGGGTGAAGCCTTGTCTGCAGAGAACTCCTGCGTTCCGAGATCTGTACTGGTTGCCAATTTGCTTCCTGGTCAAATTCAGGGTGTTAATATTAGATTATAAAGCCCTTTACAACTTGGGACCAGTTTACCTACAAGATCCCAGGTTTTCTTTCTGGCACCTGCTGAAAACATTCTACAAGCCTACCCAGGTGCTTTGAAAGTTGAAATGATTTTAATCTGTTTTAGTAGTTTAACTTTTTAAAGTTTCAAAGTAGGGTTGGTGATTTTCCATTCCAGCTGATAATAGGAACTTTGTGATTAATGACACGTTTCCTTTTGTGCCCTGAATTGTAAACTTTGGGGCAAGGACTGTCTTATTGAGCTCTTCAAGCTGTCCGGAAGAATATTCTTGGCTGAATAAAGAGGTAATAGGTAAAGGCAAAGGGACCCCTGACCATTAGGTCCAGTCGCAGACGACTCTGGGGTTGTGGTGCTCATCTTGCTTTATTGGCCAAGGGAGCCGGCGTACAGCTTCCGGGTCGTGTGGCCAGCATGACTAGGCCACTTCTGGCAAACCAGAGCAGCGCATGGAAACACCGTTTACCTTGCCGCCAGAGCAGTACCTATTTATCTACTTGCACTTTGACATGTTTTCGAACTGCTAGGTTGGCAGGAGCAGGGACCGAACAACAGGAGCTTACCCCGTTGCGGGGATTCGAACCGTTGACCTTCTGATCGGCAAGTCCTAGGCTCTGTGGTTTAACCCACGGCGCCACCCGCGTCCCTATAAAGAGGTAATACTGCCCCCATAAATAAATGTGGGGCGAGATGTAGCAAAAGCCATGTGGGCTCAGACAAACCATACAATTTGAGAGTCTTGCGTTCTGCAGTAGCCTGGCAGATGCCTCTCAGGAAGCTTACGAAGCAGGGCATGATAGCAACAGCCCTCCCAAACTGCTGCTCCAGTTATGCCGCTGGTACTTGGGAGATGGACTGCTTCTGATCATGGAAGTTTCATTTGGCAATGGTGGCTAACAGCCACCACTGACCCTCCTCTGCCACACAATTCGTCACATCTCCTTTTAGACTTCTCTAACCAAGTGATGCAGGTGGCACTGTGGGTTAAACCACAGAGCCTAGGGCTTGCCGATCAGAAGGTCGGCGGTTCGAATCCCCGCGACGGGGTGAGCTCCTGTTGCTCGGTCCCAGCTCCTGCCAACCTAGCAGTTCGAAAGCACATCAAAGTGCATAGGAGATAAATAGGTACCGCTCCGGTGGGAAGGTAAACAGCGTTTCCGTGTGCTGCTCTGGTTTGCCAAAAGCGGCTTAGTCATGCTGGCCACATGACCCGGAAGCTGTACGCCGGCTCCCTCGGCCAATAAAGCGAGATGAGCGCCGCAACCCCAGAGTCAGTCATGACTGGACCTAATGGTCAGGGGTCCCTTTACCTTTAACCAAGTGACGACATCGCCACCTCTCGTGGCAGGGGATCCTATGCATTTCTTTTGCATATCAAAACTGGGCTCCTAACATAGCTGTGACTGAAAGGGCAAGAGGGATAAAAATGAAACACACACAAGTCCTTCATCTGCTCGAAGGAATGTTTTTATTTGGGTAGCTTGTTTCGTTTTGATCTTATTTCATGTTAGTGACTCGGGAGAGCAGTTAGGATTTTAAAAACAAGTGCTTCGAAACATCCAGTTAAAATGAGTCTAAAAGTTTTGAAAATGGCAAGTACTTGTTTTCTTTAAAGTCCACCCCCACCCCCCACGTTAGCACCATTTCTAAAGACAGAATCAATGCACAGCATCATTGTTAAAAGGGGATTTCTACAACTACGGGCAGCACATTCCGGCTTCATTCACAAAACTGGCTACACCAGGGGTTGTCAACCTGGTCCCTACCAGCCACTTGTTGGCGTTTCAGGATTCTAGGTGGGCGGTAGGGGGTTCTACAGCACAAGCTGAATCCTACTTCCATCGAGCACTCGTGGGCAGTAAGGAAATTTTACCATCAAGAAAGATGCATTACTGGACGGTAGGTATAAAAAGGTTGACTACTCCTTGGTTACACAATGGAGGGCTGCTCAAAGCTTTGCAACTGTGCTTGGCAACCTTTTTGCTCCTGCAGTCTGATGTAACTGACTGGAGGTTTGCCGAGGAACTGCTGGGCCAACCATAGCACCTGGCGGGTTGCATTCGCCTCAGTGGGCCACACAAGGCAAGATCCTGCTCTAATGCACAGCAAGTCTTTCATCTTCAAACAGGTCCAGCGGGGGAGTCCCGCCTGCAGAGGAAGCGGCTCCGTCGTCCAATACTTCTCACGACAACAACAACAACAATCAAAGTCCTTAACTTTAAAACACAACAGACAAAATTCACAACAGGTTTGGACTAATTCCTACCCTCCCTCCTTTTCTGCGAGGCAACTACGCCCACGAAAGCTGCCCCCTTACTGAGAATGGTTCAGCACATGGCTGTGCTCCTCACTGCTTTTCCTCCAGTTCCTCATCCGCCGCCAAAAGGTCTTCCTCGTCTTCCAGATCCAAGTCCTCCCTCGACCCCACGGCGCCTTGCGAGGAGGGCAGGTCTCCCAGAGAGAGCCTCCAGTCTTGCGGGACGAGGTGGCGATTCTTTCGGATGAAGGTCAGCATCTTCACGTTGGCCGGGGAAAGGTCCTTGGGGTGCCCCCTGTCCGCCAACAAACCGGCACCACCGGAGACGTCTTCGGAGGGCACCGACGTAGGCGGGCACCCAAAATGGAACAGGGCCACCTTGAAGAGGGCCGGCCAGACCCCCATCTTCCCCTGCCAGTACAGCATGGGGTCGGCGTTCTCCCCAATGTGGTCCACGTTGTCGTGGAGATACTCCTCCATCTCCCGCAGGGCCGCCGCTGCCCCTCCCTCGGACGCCAGGCCCATGGCAGGGTCACTCTTGGTAATCGCCCGCCAGCGCTTCATGGTGAACTGCCACGCCGCCGAGCCGGGGGGTCCGCTGGAGCCGCTGGGCTGCTGCGGGGACGAGCGCCCCATCGGGGAGAAGTCGGCGTCGGGCCCCGGAGGTACGTAGGACCTGGTGGCCAAGTCGAGGATGTGCTCCCTCAACATGGCTGCGTCGCCCGTGTCAGCCCCGCCTAGCTTCATGGTGGTGATGTCCCTGAAGCGGGGGTCGAGGAAGGCGGCCACCCGGCAGATGAGGGTGCCCTTCATCTCACTCAGCTGGTTTTGGGCTGCCAGGCAGTCCAGGGCCTGTGTGGTGAGGTGGGCCGCCGTGTTGTTGTTCTCCTGGTAGTACCTGGTCCTCAAGGCCCGCAGCTGCTCCTCCAGGAACCACAGCAGAGGGAGAGCCTGGCAGAGTGTGGCGTCTGGGCGGGTGACCAGCGTGGCAGCATCCTCAAAGGGCTTGAGGATCTCCACCAAACACTTCACCACCTTCCAGTCCGGCGGCGTCAGGTGGAGCAAGGCTGCCTCCTCGTCTTGCTCGAAGATGGCGCTGACGGCTTGCCGCTCCCGGTAGAGGCTCTCCAGCATCCGCAGCGTGGAGTTGGATCTCCGGGGAGGCTCTTGCCCCGCCGGCTGCCGGTGCGAGCCCAGTATGGCCTGTGCCTCTAGCAGGCGCCGTCGGACTACCGTTGAGCGCTTGTAGCGGGTGCAGATCCTCCGGGACGTCTTCAGCAGCCGGTCGACGTGGGCGTCGGCCGCCAAGAAGGCCTTCACCACCAGCTTCAGGCAGCGCGCCAGGCAAGGGACGTACTTGAGGCGCAGCTCGCGCACGGCCTTTGCCGTGTTGGCCCCGTCGTCCAGGACCACGCCCCCGGTCTTCAGGTCGTAGAGCCAGTCTTGCAGCACCTCCCTCAGCTTGTGGCAGATGTCCTCGGCTGAGCAGGGCCCCTCGAAAGCACACACCGACAAGGTGGCGTGATGCCGCGAGAGGACGCCCGCCGACTCGGCCACCCAGTGCCCCGTCACCGACATGTAAGAGGCAGTCTGCCGGCCCGACCATGTGTCTATGGCGATGTGGACCGTACGGCCCACGCTGCCCACCACTGCTTGGCGGACGGCTCGGGACACCACTTTGGACAGCTCGGGCACAGCCTTCGTGGCGAAGAACGCGCGCCCAGGGATTTTCCAGCGGGGCTGGGCGGTGGCCATCAGCCGGCGGAACCCGTCGCTTTCCACGTATGACGGGGGCTGCATGTCCACGGCAAGCATCCAGGCCGTTTCAGAAGCCAGCTGGATGGCTGCCGAGTGCGTCGGCGGGTAGTATGGCTGGTTCCTCTCCTGGCGCGCGGGCTGGAAGGCCGGGACAGGTGGCTCGGTCACCACGATGGTCGGGCCGTGTGGCCTCTCCTTCAGGGGCATCAGGGGCGAAGGAGGGACCACCGCGACACCCGGCAAGTGCAGCCCGTGGTGCACCTTCAGGTGTTTGTGGAGGGCCGTGGTGCCAGGGCGGGTGCCCCCGTCCTTGCCCCTGCGCACCCGCTTCTGGCAAGTGCTGCAGACAGCTACGCATGGCTCCCTGGGATCCAGGGTGAAATAATCCCACACGGCCGAGGTGGTTTTCTTCGGGGCGTGCGTGGGAATGCCGTCCACCACCAGCACTTCCCTCTCGCGCCCGCGCTTGTGATGGTGGTGGTGGGAAGAGGGCGAGACGTGCGTCATGGGGGTGAAGAAATGCACCATCTCGATGCCCGCCCTGCCCATGGTGCCGGCGGGCATGTAGGTCCCCGGAGGAGCAGACTGCGGGTGGAGGATGTGGGGCGGGGAGAACGACACTCTCTCAATGACCTCCTCTCCGTCGTCGTCCTCCTCCTTCTTGAGGTACGAGAGCATCTCTTGAGCCTCGGGGTGGCCGGGCTCCTTCGCCCCTAGCTGGTTGGACGCCGCCGGAGAGAAAGCACCCAGCTCTGCCGCGTCCTCGTCATCCTCGTCTTCTTTCTCCTTCAGGTAGGAGAAGAGGTCGTGCACGGTTGTCGTCGACGGGCCGGGCTCCTCCTCCTCCTTCATCGCCGGCTGCAAAGAAACCGCTGGGGCAGCCATGACGGGGAACGGTTCCCGGGAAACGCCGGCCTCCGGCGCGCCAGAAAAGTGAGGCTCCTGGAGGTGGATGGCCACGCCTCTCCGGGAAAAAGTCGCCAGCTGGGCTCTTCTGCCCCGGCCGCGCCTTGGCATCATGGCAGAGGAGCCCTGGGAAGGGGAGGAAAAGGAACACAAGCGTTTCACTCCAGACAGGCTCCCTCTGATCACTCAGAAGCCCAGCGGCTTCTTTTAAAAGCAGACACTCAAATGCAGGAAACAAAGGGCAATGTGCTGTCCCGCCTTTATCTCCCCTTCCATACCCACAACTTTTCACACCGCAAGGGTGGGACATCCTTGTCAGCTCAAGGTTCTCATTACCATCTGGGCAATCTTTCATTGAACATAATATCTGATGGCCTATTAAATGTGTTCCAAAATTGTTACTGCTTTGCTACTGTTTTTAACATAGAATTGTAGAGCTGTGTGGGACCCTGAGGGTCATCTATGGCAACCCCCTGCAATGCAGGAATCTTGCCCACAGCTGTCCCTTGGTAGGCTCAACCTTCTGGTTAACAGGCAGATGCATCGACCCATTGTGCCATTATGTATTTTCTGCGTTGTTTTTTCTCGTGAACTGCCCTTAGATCTACCGATGAAGAGCAGTAGGGTTAGCATTAGGGTTCTCAATATTCTCTGGTTGGACTGTTATTTTCTCCTACCAATAGGTAACCTACATAAGGACTCTATATTGGCTCTTGGATACCCCATAAGGGAAAAAGGGCAGATTTGTTTACAACACCACTGAGTGGGAGCAATGGCCAGAGAATCCTACTGATTCTTGGGAGCAGGAAAATGGTAAATAAATGGGGTTGGGTGCGTATAGAGGGGGGCCATACAGTGGGGCTGAAATCCTCCACCATAGCTCTTCACACACTATTTTGTTGCTAGTTACATGTAGGTAGCTGTGCTGGTCTGCCGTAGTCGAAACAAAATAAAAAAATTCCTTCCAGTAGCACCTTAGAGACCAACTAAGTTTGTTATTGGTATGAGTTTTCGTGTGCTTAGTTGTTCTCTAAGGTGCTACTGGAAGGAATTTTTTTATTTTATTTTGTTGCTGACTCCATTTGCCCCAGTTATTTTCTTATGGTGCTACTTCATGCTCATGGCATTTTGCTAAGAGAGATAGGTCAGATCTGCCTCCAAGAGGCTAACAATTCAGTGGTACCTTGGTTCTCAAATGTCTTGGTACTCAAACAACTTGGAACCCAAACACTGCAAACCCATGTTGTAAACAAAAATTGCCCTTTTCCCTTATGGGGTATCCAAGAGCCCATATAGAGTCCTGACATAGGTTCCCTATTGGTAGGAGAAAATAACAGAGGCCAACCAGAGACTATTGAGAAACAAAGCAGCTAGTCAGCCTGATCTTTATTGATCTGTTGCAACAGGGTCCTCACTCACCCGCAGGAGAGAGGAGGAACCCAGAACAATGGCGTGCAAGGCCTTATATAGACTTTTGAAATTGCTACCCTTTAGATCAAGACCACCCCCAGAAACATCATACATCACAGAAGGGGTGTAGCTCAAGACCACCACCCCATATACATCATACCTACATCACAGAAGAGGTGGTCTAAAACAGAAATTTGAAAGTTGTTTTTCTCCTGTTGTTGTTTATCTCCTGTCTGGCAGGTTACTTGATTGGATTGCCTGGGGAACCTGGCCAGTCTTTTGTAATGATAAATACTTAGTTCCTGGGCCAGGTCACAAGCTCACACCCTATTCATATCTTAAATGTGCCCTTAAGACAAGGTTTGTGAAGGAAAAGACAATGGGGAGGTTTCCCACTTTGACCTTGCAGAGAAATCATTTGCTCAGTTTGGGAATCAAAATGGTTTCAGGTCGGTCTTCCTGTGCTGATCTATGTACGTGCTTGGTTGGTACACTTATGAACATTTAACATATACATAAGACCTCAACATTCCTATCACACCCAGAAGTAAGTGTTCCTGTTTGCCAACTTTTTTCAGAAGCCGAATATGCACCGTTTTGAGTGTTACGCTTCCGATTTGAGTGACACACTTCCGTTTTGCGTGTTACGCTGAGATCTGTCTGCTTTTACTATTTATTTTGCATTTTTGTTTTTGAGGCTCTTTTTTTGTTGACTGTGTGGAACCCAGTTCAGCCACTGATTGATTGATTGTGTGACTGCAGTATATTGTTTATTGCTTTCATTTTATGGATCAATGGTCTCGTTAGATAGTAAAATCCATGTTAAATTGTTATTGTAGTGGACTTTTAAAAGTCTGGAACGAATTAATACGTTTTGCATCACTTTCTATGGGAAAGCGCACCTTGGTTTTGGAACGCTTCGGTTTTGGAACGGACTTCCGGAACATATTAAGTTTGAGAACCAAGGTACCACTGTATAGAAGTCCTCTATTTTCATCAGAGAAATGTTGGAGGGGGTGTTAGTATCGTCTACTGCCAGCAGCTCTCTGGGGATTTCAGCCAGGCAGGCGACATCCCCAGCCCTAAGTCCCTATGCGCCTTCTACATGCATAGCACATGCTTCACTGCTGAGCTACAGCCCTTGGTAGAGGTGCCGCTACTCTAGAAGTAACTCCCTCTCTTGAGAAATTCACCCAGCATAGCCTTTTGCAGACCTCCTCCAGGAGCAGGAACAAAACATTCCAATCTCCAAAGGTGTTTAAAGCTGGTTGGCAAATCCCACCACCGATTTCCTTTCCTAGCACCTTGACCAGAAGCTCTTGGATAGCAGGAACAATGAAGTATGCACCTTGTTGGGCTCCAAACTCCCCCCCCCCAGCCCCAGCCAGCATGCCCAATGGTCAGGGAGGATGGGAGCTGGAGTGCAGCAGCATCTGGAGAAACAGAGGGAACCCCCCCCCCACACTTTTGTTCATATCTATCTATTCTGATTGTCTAGCGACATATTGTTTTGAATTGTTTTTCAATATTGCTTTTTTTTAATGCTGTAACCCGCCCTGTCCACTTAGGCTTAAAGGCAGGTAATTAATAAACAAAGGAACAATATTGTTTCATTTAACCAGTTAAAAGTCTTTCAACATGAAGGGAAGCAGGCTTGAGAAGTTCCCCTAACATGGGAAATGTAGAGAGACTAGCTCTAGCCTACCTTACAGGGTTGTTGTAATTTACTTATTTTAGATGCTAGAGAAATATGCGTGAAATCTAAAACGTTACTGCTGAAGAGAACAAAAGATAAATAAATAAATATTTTTAAAAGGGGGGGGGGAATCACCATTGCTACGCCTTTCCCCTCCCTCCTCCCCGCAGGCGTATTTTTTAACTGAACTCTCAGTGGCTTAAAAGGAGATGCAACGCCTTTCTCTGATACCGAACCACGAGAGACAAAAGCGATCTTCGCCCTTAAAAGCGGGACACACTCACCAATCCAAGATGGAAGCTGCGCCGACTATCAGGAACAACCCAATCCCTCAGTTATTATTTTTTTTTGCAGAGATGGCTTGCAAGGAAGCGATACGCCTTATTGCAAAAAGACGCACACACGCAAAACGACGCCCGATTTTAAAAATACAGATTATCATTTGTTTATTTTTTAAAATGTCGCAGGCTATCTATTCCAAAACGATATATAAAAACGTAAAAAAGGAACAAAAAGCACCCGGAAGAAAACCCTAACACCCGGATGTTAAAAAAAACGTTACAGGAAACCTCACTTCCCATATTTCTTTTTTTCCTTCCGCAAAATTCATTGCACGACCCACACTTTCGTAGGTTTGCTTGGCGAGGGATTGGGAGTGAGGTGTCGATTCTTGAGCATAGCTCCTCGGAAGCAAGCCCCACTGAGATTTACTCCTAGCGAGTGCATTCGCAGTCCTACACGTTTACTCACTGAATTTTTCTGGGGCATTAGTACCAGGTGGGGTGGTGAAAGGAACTGAATCCAGCCCTTAGCGTAAATTCTCTTTTGCAATTATGCATCTTCGACACATACTGCGTGCTAAAAAAGGAGAGAAAAATGCAACGATTGCTTCAATCCTCCCTGCATGTGTTTCCCGTCCCCTGCTCCAATTAAATCAACCCATCAGCCGGTATTTCTCTTGTACGTAAATAAATTCACGTTTCCTGCTTTTTAAAAATTTAACGGGATAATGAACTACAGCCCTTAATTATTTTCCTTATGTTAGCTTTGCAACCTAGCAACAGGCAAAAGTAGAGGAAAAGGCTGGATCTATCAATCTGATCTATCTAGGTCTGTTTGCTTGCTTTTCTAGCTAATATTTGAATATATAATCAGGCTGGCTTTTTAAATCGAGGCAGCAGCTGAAATGTTTAGTTCACAAGCCTCCCGGGGCGCCCAATAGCACGCGAGCGTTCGAATCGTGGTCATTTACATCCTTCGATCTCTGGAGAGTGACGCAAGCTCTTCGCCGTCCAATAGCGACGTCGCACTTTGGAGCCCTCATTTCCATAAGCGTCCTATAAATACGGGAGCTCGTCAACCGCACCACCACTCTTGATTGAGGGCGCAGTTGAGGGAGAAGATTGAAGATGCCAGAGCCAGCGAAATCCGCTCCCGCGGCCAAGAAGGGCTCCAAGAAGGCCATCACCAAGACGCAGAAGAAGGGCGACAAGAAGCGCAAGAAGAGCCGCAAGGAGAGCTACTCCATCTACGTCTACAAGGTGCTCAAGCAGGTCCACCCGGACACGGGCATCTCGTCCAAGGCCATGAGCATCATGAACTCCTTCGTCAACGACATCTTCGAGCGCATCGCGGCCGAGGCTTCCCGCCTGGCGCACTACAACAAGCGCTCCACCATCACCTCCCGGGAGATCCAGACCGCCGTCCGACTCCTGCTGCCCGGAGAGCTGGCCAAGCACGCCGTCTCCGAGGGCACCAAGGCCGTCACCAAGTACACCAGCTCCAAGTGAGCTGGGCGCCCATTTTTCGGTCGCCTGGGGACGTTCTACAGAAACCCAAAGGCTCTTTTAAGAGCCACCCACTTTCTCATTTGAAAAGCGCTGTTCCGCCTTGTGTTAACTCTCAACGATTCCCCCCCGGGGGGTTTCCTTTGGTGTCCTGCTGTCGGGATTTAGTGGGGAATAATGCCAATAGACGAGGGAGGGGACAGGAAGAGATCGGCTGTATCTAACGTTACTCTTAAATCTGGGTCGACCAATTAATAGGTCTGTAATAATAGTAATGGTAATTATTATTACGGTCAAAGGCCAGTTCATAATAGGTCTGTATTAGTCTGATTCCTTTATTTCAACGGGCCTGTTTTAGTGGGGCTTAATGTTATCAGTGAAATAGTGTGTATGCCTAAAATAAAAGGTATGGTGAAACTGGTTGTTCCTTCTTAACCTGAAAGAACCTATAGGTTCAAAGCGCTGCTTTGCTATTTCGTCGGGAGAGACTTTTGAGTTTCCCCGCGTTCTTCCTACCCTGATCCCTTTAGCGGTTTCTGAATGGCGTTTCCCTAATGATTATTTCCTCCCTATGCCATTAAATCCACGTTAGGGCGACAAAGCCATTTCCCTTCATTCTTTTTCTAAAGGCGCATGACAATTCGGTCACGGCTGCAATCTTTGTCGCTTGCTTCTTAGTAGGTCTCATTGAACTGAATGGGGTTTGCTTCTGAAGTAGCCTGGATTGCGCTAGAAATACAGGTCCTAACCCGGCACTAAACGGCCAGGTGGAAGTGACGCCCGAAGCTATTAAGTTACTGCGTTTATGTACTGCGATCTGCTTGTTTTGAATTAAATAATGAAATCTTTGGCAGCAAGACAGCCAGCGAGTGATAAACTGTGTTTGAGAACGCATTCACCAGCAGCCCGGCTAGCTCAGTCGGTAGAGCATGAGACTCTTAATCTCAGGGTCGTGGGTTCGAGCCCCACGTTGGGCGCGAGGTTTTTCTTTACATTCTGTGGAAAAATATACATCAAAGACCACGGTGGGTAAACTATGCACGGTACAAGCTCACGCTCTTTCATCGCGTTTCCTGTATTGAAATAGTAATAAGTACCACAGACAGAATATTATGGACAGATGATGACCTGTGTCACATGGCATAACTTTTAAAAAGGGCCTACATGGCATCTTGTATCCATGTCTTTTTAAAATACACTCTTCATCAACACTTATATGACCTATTCCCCATTTCCCACTTTTTTTAAAAGAGTCTAGTTCCAGAAGTAGTTTCTGTTTGTGTTTTTTTCTTTCCTAAATTGCTTCACCCCGCAAAAAGAAAACACTGCAAACACCTTCCTTGCAAATTAATTTCTGGAGACTGTGTCTGCTATGAAACACAGGAGCTGAAAGTAATCAAGAAGCCAGAAAACGATCAACTGTGTTAACAAAAGCCCAGTTTATTTTACATTTTTTAAGGCTGTCTTATGAGGTAGCTTTTCTTTTTAAGGAAAATTGTAGAGGCCCCTGGATGACCCCAAACCACAGCCTTCCAGTTAACAGCCCAAGCCACTACTGGATTATGCTGGTTGAAAATCAATGATAGTTTAAAATAAGGTTACCAGATTTTTTTCAAAGAATCCGAGGACACTTTTTTTTAAAAAAAGTTTTTTTTAAAGTTATTTTTAAAAATTAAGAACTAATATCTTCTCTTCTGTGGTCTCCCCTGTCACTCGGCCTTCCTCTGGGCCCCGGCCTGCTCTCTTGGAGCACTAGCCGCCGTGGAGTAGACTCAGGTCGGACCTGGGCTCGGCCTCATGTCCTTGCCCTCCCAGTGCTCTCCTATCTCTCCTCCTGAGCGGCGGCAGCAGCGCGGCAAGGTCAGGGCTCCCCTCTTTTTTCTCCTTCCTCTCTCTCTTCCATCTCCTTCTCCTCCTTCTCCTCTCCTCGTTTCCCCTGTCTTGGCTCCGGGGTTTCCCTGGCCCCGGAGCACCGCTGGGCAGTTGGCTGCTCACACCCGGCTCAATTGGGTCCCGGGGAGGTCAGCGGTTACCCCAGTTGATGCACCGGGCATCCCCGGTTCGCCCTCGGCAGTGGCAGTGGCAGCCCGTAGCCAGCCTGGTAGTGCAATTGGTTCTGGCTGGCTTCAGGAGCTGCTTGCTGCCATGGCACCCACCTTTTTGCCTCGCCGGAAGTCCCCCATATGATGTGTCTTGTGCCGTTGAACCAATCACACGACATTCATTCCCTACTAATAAATCTACAACACTTAAAATATAAATCTGGGGACATTAAATGAAATCCGGGGATGGATTTGTAAATCTGGGGACTGTCCCCGGGAAACGGGCACATCTGGTAACCATAGTTTAAAAGATGAAAAAGTAATTTTCTTTATTGACAAAACTTACCATACCATAACCACCCTTCTGAATCAAACCTCTATTTAGTCGAATATTCTGTACTAACTAGTCGGCATCCTGATGCTTTTGAAAAAGTCCACCAGGAGAGCATGAAGACAACAGACCCGGCTCCTGTGCTCTCCCTCTCAACGACTGGTATTCACAGGTACACTGCACCTCAGAATGGAGGTTCCATCACTGATCTAACACCCATTCCTTTGTCAACCCTCCTTGCAAAACCACCTAGTCTTGTGACCATATCTGCCAGCAATACATATCATGAATTATGCGTGGTGTAAAGGGTTTTCCTATGTTGGTCCTCATACCAGTGCACATAAATTTCGCGGGATAGACCGGAGTCCTTTCTGTTGAGGTCTAGTGCAGACTCCCTTTCCTATGTGTGTTGTTTTTTATGAAGACTATGCAGCACCTTTATAGTAAAAATAGGAAAGATGTGTCTTTTTATTTAACTGGTGTATTTGACCATGGTCGTTGATGGATGGACTTTAGCTTAGAAACCGTATAAAACTGGCCAAGAAAACAGTCGTTTCTCCCCGTCGGGGAATCGAACCCCGGTCTCCCGCGTGACAGGCGGGGATACTCACCACTATACTAACGAGGAAGTCACAGTTAAGCCTGAGACAAAGCACCCTGCATTCCTGAGTTGCCACCTGGAAAGGGTCAATAAGGAATTAACCAATCCCTTTATAGCGCGCGAATTTAAAATGTTGAAATTGTCCCGTTATTTTATACTTTCAAGCAGCGTCGTTGGACACGTTTTGCCCTTACATAATTAAGATTTTCTACTCACGCTTTCTCCACTCCTTCTAAAATACGTTGATATTTCGTATCTATAAGCAAACTGGACCCTTTTTTAAAAAAAACTCTTAGAAATCACTGTGATTGTTAAATTATTTAACTTATTTAACTTGCATACATAAAACAAGCTCTAAAAGCTTTTAAAGGAAAGTTTTTACTCTTTTCCTCCGCCCATCGCAAACACACTCGCTAACTACAACTTGAAGCGCTGAATCTTATGAAAAAGTCGAGACATTTCCCGCAGCACTTTTCATCCAAAGGCTGCTATCCACACTGCGTAGCAGGGTACCCTACAACTCCATACAATTGGATTATGATGTAACTGATGTTAAAGCCACTGCGGTTTATGTATTTTATACACAAAGGCGTGATCAGATCTTTTACTAAGAAGGTGGGTGGCTCTTAAAAGAGCCTTTGGGTTTCTGTAGCACTTTCCCAGGCAACCGAAAAATGGGCGCCCAGCTCACTTGGAGCTGGTGTACTTGGTGACGGCCTTGGTGCCCTCGGAGACGGCGTGCTTGGCCAGCTCTCCGGGCAGCAGGAGTCGGACGGCGGTCTGGATCTCCCGGGAGGTGATGGTGGAGCGCTTGTTGTAGTGCGCCAGGCGGGAAGCCTCGGCCGCGATGCGCTCGAAGATGTCGTTGACGAAGGAGTTCATGATGCTCATGGCCTTGGACGAGATGCCCGTGTCCGGGTGGACCTGCTTGAGCACCTTGTAGACGTAGATGGAGTAGCTCTCCTTCCTGCTCTTCTTGCGCTTCTTGTCGCCCTTTTTCTGGGTCTTGGTAATGGCCTTCTTGGAGCCCTTCTTGGCCGCGGGAGCGGACTTTGCTGGTTCAGGCATCTTCAACAATCAGATCACCACTACCGTAGAGTACAAGCAGTAAAAGAATGATGGTGCGGGATTCGCCGTCCCTTTATTTATAGGCTGGATAATGCAAATGAAGTTTCCAAAGATCTTAGTTACCATTGGACGAGAAGTACGCTACCTTACGCTATTGGAAGAGAGCCCATGCATTTCAAATCTCGCGCTGCAATTGGGTGTTTTAAAGAAACTTTTCTTATTGGCCTTTTTTAACAACAGTTAATTCTCATTGGCTGGAGGCGGCACCATTTTGATAGCAGGCCAATCCCTTTTCCCGCTTCTTTGGTACAGTGGCACTTCTTTCTTCCTGGGGAGAATTAGACCCCGATCTCTTCTCATTCTCTGGGGAGCTTTCTGCCCTGTTGTATGTTGTATACGGGTCCCGCGACAAAACTGTAAATTGGCAAATTGCTGTTAAAAGCTGACTAATCGAAGTGTACGTTTCATACCCTAGTAAGAGCTTGCACTACATCTACACGACCCCCAGGAAGGAAGAAGAATACTTGACATTAAAATGAGAAAAAAGGCTCAGATGTTCTGAGGTTAAGCTCCAATATACAGCCGAAATAGCTCAGTTGGGAGAGCGTTAGACTGAAGATCTAAAGGTCCCTGGTTCGATCCCGGGTTTCGGCAGCTATTTTTTGGCCTTTGGTTCAGTTTGCTGAACTTTCAATTTCCTAGTGCTGTACTTTATGAAGTTTTTGCTGTTAGCTTGAGTGTTCTTAAATTTTATGTGTTAATGTGCACTTCTGCTAAAAAAATACACCCAGAAATTGCACATTTAAACGCAGACCAACGGTTGGAAATGCCTGAAGGTGTGTGTTTTAAGCACAGAATATTTTAGTTGTTTTCCTTTGCAACTGTTGTATGCTGAAACTACAGAATTCATAGATTTACAATCTAATGCACGTCTTCAATCTTGAGTGCAGTAAATTTAGGTGCATATTTTCCTGCCTTACAATATGCTTAAAATCGTGCTGCAAACCTTGTATTTTTTAATATAATGTAGAATTATTTTAAAATCACTTAACAGTGGCAGTTGCCTAAGTATTGTGAACCTACCCAATACCCTGATCCACAATGCAGTTGGAGACGCCCACTTGGCCCCAACTCATAATGTTAGTGCAAAACGAAAATCCAAGCATTTGTAATCGCTTCTGAAAACAAAAGTATTATCGGCTTTTTAGGAAAATGTGGGCAACCCACCGCTACAGAAGGCAATGAGAATTCAGAAATATTTAAAAGGAAAATACATACAAGGAAATTGTGCTTATCGGTATCGGAACGGAACAAAATAACCAAAGCTCTTTACACCATAAAGGAAGATTGTATGCCTCAAGGTAGGTTTCTATGTATTTTGGACATTATTCCAATGATTCCAGTGCGTTAGGTAAAATAGCGTTAGCGATTGGCTCTTTTGCGGAAATGGTGGGTGGCCCTGAAAAGGACCTTTTGTTGATATTTAGGTCTGTGGAAGCGAAGGAGCAGTTAGCCGCCGAAGCCGTACAGAGTGCGGCCCTGGCGCTTGAGAGCGTACACCACGTCCATGGCGGTGACCGTCTTCCTCTTGGCGTGCTCGGTGTAGGTGACGGCGTCGCGAATGACGTTCTCAAGGAAGACCTTGAGGACGCCGCGGGTCTCCTCGTAAATGAGCCCGGAGATGCGCTTGACTCCTCCGCGGCGAGCGAGGCGGCGGATGGCGGGCTTGGTGATGCCCTGGATGTTGTCGCGCAGCACTTTGCGGTGCCTCTTGGCGCCTCCTTTCCCCAACCCCTTGCCTCCCTTTCCACGTCCTGACATCTTCCTAACGATTTGCTTCCAACGCAGACTGCGAAACGGCTCCCGAAAAAACTGCCTTTAAATAGTTTGAAATCCGACCAGAATGAAAACTTCAACAATGAGCCACGTATTTGCACACGCGTCACGCCTCCGTGCGCATGAACTGACGCTATCCAATCAACGATGAACAGCTATTTCAAACTAACCAATCAAACACTCTCCGGCAAATGGTAGCGGAAGCGCTATTTGGCGCCTATCTCTGTCTCTGATCAAAAGAGGATTTTTGTGCAGTCCTGGCGTATGCGTGCTTTTGGGCGGAAGTAAAAATCCCACTTGAAGTTACCTCTTCGAGAATAGTATCATATTCATTCTCGGCCTAGCCTCCTTCAATCGAGGAGGGACTATTGATTGGCTTCGTGGAAGCGGGATTTGCCTTTTTAATTGCTAATTTTAACTCCACATCCTGCTGTGGGGACAACATGAATCTGCTGGTACGAAAATAAATGTAAGGAAGCAGGCATCGCCTCCGCTTTAAATAGACAGATGCATGTGGTGATTAAAAGTAAAAATATAGGTTCGGATTTTAGCTTTTAGAGAAAACCATCTTTAGTTCCTAAAGTCAACCACAGAATTCGCAGAACGTGCAGCACCACTGACAAAAATAATACACACACTCCAGTAAGGCGTGGGAGCCGTTTTCAATTTGGTGCTCAAAACGTACAGGTGAGGGGATAATATGAGGGGGAAGGGCATTATGGCATGTATCCAACGTTACAGAAACGGGGTTCTACCCTTCTCTCCCTGCGCGCCAGACAAGCCTCTGGAGCACATTTCGAGGGCGCATGGGTGTTGCAGAGTAGAGGAGAAAATAATGTTCAAAGGGAAGTGTGAGCGGCACAATAGCGTTTTCTTCAATCCCAGAATCTAAATTGCTTTCCCATTAGCAGCGGCACAAAGATCATCTCATCATCACCAGCACACTCAGTTGTCAGAATGATTCTTTAATTTGGGGAGTTTCATTCGTTTTACGATGGACAGAAATCTATGCCCTCTAAGGTTCTGCAGTAGAAACGTCCCCTTTCGCTGGCTGGCGCTGGAACAGAAGAGGGGGTCCGTCGCTCTGTGGGGAGAGGATAGAGCACAAGCAGGCTTTGTGTGCATGCAAAGGGATCCTGCGTTCAATGACAGGCAGGACTGAGACGTAAAAACCTGCCCTAGAGCTAGATGGGCCCGTTGCCAGGCTTGGGAAATGACAGGTTCTTATATAGAGCAGCAACTATATATAGCTCTTACAAGGAAACTGGGTTGCTTAAATGGGGTCAATAGGGTCATTTTTCTAACGAGAAGGAAAGCTTCACATGATAAACCAATGTTAGTAAGTGTATTGATCTATAGAGTGATTCAGAGAGTAGAATTAATTCCTTAGACTACTAGGGAGATACTGAAGTTATAATCCCCACTGTGGAAGGATGTGTGGATCCAGAATTGACCTACACAGTCACTTACAGACTCATTGTTAAAACTGTGTTTATGGAAGACAATCTTACTCGGCTACGAGTGATCGCCAAAGAAGAAAAGAATAATCGACAGGTGTTTTATCCCCAATGGTCAAGTACGTTATAGTCTTTGAGAGAAGGAAAAGACACACTAGACACACTGTAGGGCACCCACCTCCTATTTCAGCTCTATATGTTTTTCAAGGCTCAGATGAATTCTACTGAATCCAAGTTTTACTCAGTTCCTTTGGAAAAAGCAATGTGTGTGCACACACACTTTTTCTGCCTGTGTGTGGGAGCTTGATCCAAGGAAGAAAGACGACAAAGGTAACCAGAGAAATCCAAATGGCCTAAAATGATTGGAGACCTCTGTTCAGGTATTCCTGGATGGGTGTTGATTGACACTTAGTAAATACAAATCCATAGTGAGGAGTGTTGTGCTCAGGTCTTGCTCCTGGTGGACCAGAATCCTTGACTAGGTGGGTCTTTTTTAGCCTGATCCAGCAGGGGGATTCCTACAATTTTATGGGGTTGCTGGAGTACACGGGCCCTTGGTCTGCTCTAGCAGGTTTCTTGCTCTGCTAAGTGTTACACCATTTTAGGAGGAGTAAAAAAGCAGCCAGCACACCTCACCCTGAATATCTAACACCATCCAGGTCGCTTATACCAGATAATTTCTAGGAGAAATAAACAAGAGTCCATCGCATTGTTGAGATCAGGCAGGGCAGAATGTATCAACTTGTACTCGTTCCTCCAAGTGATGGGATCTGGCTGACGAGCCCTTTGCACGGCTGTGACCAAAGACATCCAGCTGTGACGAGAGCAACTCAGGACCAAGAGCTGAATGAAAGTCTGTTGCAACTCTGCCCAAGGCGCTGTTCTGCTTACTGGAGGATATTTGCATAGATGTCATATGCCCTTGACCTGTATTAAGTCTTTGCCTTGCAAGGTAGAAGATTGGGGGGTTGGTATTTTATATTACCAACTCCCCTGGCCCTACTCACCACTAGCATGTGGTCCCTGCAATACTACCCACCAGGCAATGCAGCCCTCTGGCTGGAAAAAAACCCACCCCACATTCCCAACCCTAACTTGGGGCAAATTGACTAGAAGCCGACATTTTTCTGCAAAAAGCTGGACCAACTTGTTAGTACACAAACAGCACGCGAGATCTTTCACTTTATCCATTGCAAGTGCTTCACTTAGTTCTCATATTTCAGCTATTTGTGGCTATGCTTTTATGCTCGAAACATGAAGGCTAATTGTAAAAAGAAGCTACAGGCCATTAAAGCTTTTATTATTATTATTTTATTAAATTTGTATACCACCCTGTACCCATAGATCTCAGGGTGGTTCACAGAGAAAGGCAGAACCACAAACAGGGTTGGGGGCACCAATTACTGTTTGATATTGACTTAGTGTAAGCATTTAGAGGAACAGCTGGATCTGTTTTATGCAGCTGCATAGATTTAAATGTTTGGCGTTCCCCTATCCTGGTGTGTCAATATCATTGCTTTCAAACTCTGAAAGTTCAGCAACACCCAAAACACTCATGTTAATTGAGTGGCTTTCTGTACATTCATGTTGGATATCCTACTCTACAAATCACTTTTCCTTGGCTCAGTGTCTAGACCCTGGGATGTTCACTTATGTCATCATGTATACAAGGGAGATTGAGGAGGCCAGACCATGCCAAATGCACAACACACATTGCAGTTAGGTACACAGAAGTCATTGCCTCAGCAACGCTTGCAGCCAAGTGCTTTTTTAAAACATTACTAACCACCACGTTTGCATCTTAACTTTCAAGCGTGGTTCTCACACGTTCTAACCCATGGGTAGGCAAACTAAGGCCCAGAGGCCAGATCCGGCCCAATCGCCTTCTAAATCCAGCCCACAGACGGTCCGGGAATCAGCGTGTTTTTACATGAGTAGAATGTGTCCTTTTATTTAAAATGCATCTCTGGGTTATTTGTGGGGCATAGGAATTAATTTTTTCCCCTTCCAAAATATAGTCCGGCCCCTCACAAGGTCTGAGGGACAGTGGATCGGCCCCCTGCTGAAAAGTTTGCTGACCCCTGTTCTAACTTCTTCCCTGCCTAACACTCCCTGTCCCCAGAACTGTTACTAGGTGTAGGGAAAACAGCTGCAGCATCACTGGTTCTCAGGGGAGGATAATAAAATGGAAATGTTAAGCTACTCTTCCACGTGTTTTACAAAGATGTGCTCAAGCCACTTCAGAAAACTTTCAGTAATCCTTGCTGCCACCGTTCTTTTTTGTGTGTGTGGGGGGGGGGTAATTTCTTGACTGAATAAGAGCTTTCTACAATGAGACCAGCATTCGCTTACTTTTACGAGCACACACTGTCAAAGTATACCCTATTACCAAGAAAATATTAGTGACTAACAGTGAATTTACAAGACACATAATTGTCCACAATTACGGTTTCCTTCTCAACAAGAAGCCTAATGTGGACCCAGATGATAGTCTTCCCATTTCCATCACCCACTTTGAAGTGAGCTGCAGAGCTCTGCAAATGTATTGGTGACTGTTCAAAACCAGTATTAACACACACGTAACACCTTCTTAAAAGGGGACACAATTCGAATCTGGCCTCAGAGTACTGAAGGTCAGCCTTTGCAGCTAAGAACTGTAACGTCACACATTCTCATAGCCCGCATCTGAAGGAGCTCCTTCCCCACAAATAAACAAGAGGCAAGCCATCTAAAAACAATACGTCCTTTTTAATTGTTAAGTCAATAAAGAGGTATCAAAATTAAAAGAGGAGAATTACAGGGGATTTAACTGAACTACTAGGAGAGATTTCGGGGGTCTGGCCAGGGGGAGGAGAAAGAAAGGACAAATGCAACAGAAGACACGCCATGAACACACGGGGCTCTGGGAAGGAGGGAGGGAAGAGGGCAGTGAGGAGGCAGCCGACAAGGGGCTGGTGAGAGGCTCAATATCAGAAGAACGTCGGTGTTTGTTGAGGAGGAGAGAGGAGAGGTGTGCTGGGCGCTTAGGAGTCGTCTTCGCCATTGGCGCTGTCTCTGTCGTCTTCGCCTTCTTCGGGCTCCTTGTCATCCCCCTCGATGGACTCCAGCTGAGAGAGAGAAGGGGACAGGCAGAGGGGCCGAGTTAGCAAACAGGGAGAGCCGCGCTCCTCACTCCTGGCTCTCTGCCGCCTCCAGCTTCGTACCTGGTCGTCTCCCCGGTCTTCATTGTCGTCATTGTCCAGCAGGTCCCCTTCCTCAGCGGAGTCATCCGCCCCAGTCTCAGACTCCATCTTGACATTGCTCTCTTCTTTCTTGGCCGAGCTGCTGCTTTGCTCCTCCTCAGACTTGTCATTCTTCAGTTCTAGGAAGGGAGGATATAGAGAGGAGGGGTCCAGCAGGGTATCGGAACCGCTCGCCTGCTCTCCTAAGCTCTCGGGGCTGCCGCCCCACGTGGAATTTTCCTACATCAAGACTCGTCAAGCCAACCACACGCCTCTGGTGAGCCGGAACCATCCCAGAGGCAGAAGAGCTTTTATAAGCCGGAAGGAGGTCGGTTCTTCCTAGTCAGGCCACCTATGCAAAGGCATGAAGGGGCCGGCAGCTCGCGACACATCTGTGATCAAGCAGCTGCCATGGGTTCATTTGCAAGGCTGTTGCGGAGAACTATGGCTGTACGCAAAGGGCTTTGGCAAGGTGGCTGCTCTCCCCACCGACAATATAGAGGAGGGGCTAGAGCGCTGCCCTCCTAGCTATGGAAAGCTGTTAAATTGAAGAGCAGCGAAGGAGCATCACAAGGTTGCTCTCCTGGAAACCCAAAACCAAAGCCCACCTAGAAAACCACCACAATTACATACGTCAGATATGCATTCCCAGACAGCCCGTGTCCCTCCCAAACAAGGCTCTCTCTTTATTGGGGAGGAAGGATAAAGCCTGAAGAGATGCTTCAAGCCAAATTCCCACAACCTTCAGCCCCCCAAAAGTCCCAAGCCCATGAAGGGCTTCCAGGGTCCTCCCCCCGCCTCCCATCCACCTCCCAACCCTTTCATTTGACTGTTTACTTTGATCTTTCTCTATCTTCTCCAGGCTTTCCAGCAGGGAATCCACTTTCTGCTTAATCTGGGTCAGCTCCTTCTTAATGGTCTGCAGATCATCTCCTTTCACTGAAATAAAAAGGACATGAGCACACTGTTTATCGGAAGCACTGATACCAAAGGCTTAGCTTTTTTGAACATAGGCACTCAATGCCTATTCCAAATATATTCAGCATCTCAACAATAGATGCTGAAAGACAGCTAACACAGATATAAATCTGGAGATTAAGCGAAGCATTTATCCCAGGGAGAGGAGGTTTCCCCACTGTTCCTTCTTCTCAACCCACCATTAAAAAAGAGATAGGGAAATAAATAGTGCTGAAAAGCAAAGGAAGGTGCAACTGTTGCCAGGAGTTTTCAGATGCCCCTCTGAAACTAGGATAAAGAACAGTCCAGGGTAGTGAAACTTTCTCACTCTTTATGGGCAAGTCAGCAATTTACGCCAGGAATTGGAATTGGAAACCTGCAGCCCTAGGGATACACATGACCTTCAGCCCAAGCTCACAGCATGTGACCAGGACAGGCCTCTGGCAAGAGTGACCTCACCCTCTCCCAGCAGCTTGCTAGGCAAAGAGAGATAAAAGGGGGGCAAGAGGGTAACCCTTGCCCACTGCCAGCTTCAGCATCACCCACTACAGCATGGAGGGGCCCGTTTCAAATCAGGGAAGACTTTAAACATGTCAGATCTACTTTGTTAATTAGAAGTCTTCCAGCAAAATCCAAGCACAAAAACATAATTAGAATTACAAGAGCAGGGTGCATCTGAACCTAGGAATTGGGTAGTTTTGTACCACCAGGACTGAATTGAGCTTATGGCCTTTTCACACACGAAATCATCACCTATCTTTCTTAAATTCAGTAGCCTAATTCAGGGGCAAGAATCATTTCAGTTGCTGCCATTGTTAACCAAGTGAGAAGCAGAATCTGTTGCACAATACCCAGTAGATCCCGATCTACCTTCTGCACACCCCAGTTCCAAATGGAACTTCTGCCTTGCCAAGAGAACAGTTCTAGCCAATCCCCAAGGATTTTATGTAAGGCTACCGCAACATTTAACCACTCAGTGGCACTTTCTGTGACTTTTCTGAATCCCAGTTTAAGTCCTTGTGCAAGAGAAAGGGCCCCCACCCCACTCAAATCACCTGCGCCTAGCCAGAAAATTCAACACATACACTTTCCAGATTTGGAAGACGACCCCCGCTGCCCGCTCTTTGAGTTGAATCCGCTCTTGCCCCTGCGGGAGGTGTTGCCAGAAACCCGTTGGCGTTTGGAGGGCACCACGGCCCGGGCAATGGGAGGCGGAGGCGGCACCCGCGCTTGGTAGCTGTACATCCTAGGGGCACAAGAGAAAACTGCCATCATCAGAAGCCAGCACTCAACTCCCTGTTGAGTGACATCTTCCTTTGTGTAAGTTCAATCTGCTTCTTGCTCATGCACAAGCTCAATGGCTGTGGTTCCTCCCTTCTTGGCATTTGGAGACAAACTGCACCGGAGGTGTATGGAAGGGGCAATGGCTCACTGGTGGCTCCCAGGCTGTGCATGGGTAAGTGTCCCAGGAAAGCTCCCTCCCCACACCAACCCAAGAAGATCAGGCAGATCCTCTGGGCAAGAAGGTTAAGACAGCTCCTTGCAGCATAGAAATAATAATTTTATTATTTATACCCCATCCATCTGGCAGCTGCTTTCTACCAACTCAAGAGTCCTGGCATTGGGACACCATGACTGGCAGCAGCTTCAGTGGCGGCTGGTGCCCAAGGGGACTGGCAGGAAAAAGGTGGGTGCAGCCACAGCCAGCTACAGGCATGGCCAACTAATTCATCCTCCTCCCTTCTGAGTTCTATAATGACAACAAAGAGATGGAGGAGGAGAAGGAGAAGGAGGAGGAAGGTAGCAGAAAGAGCCAACCCCTGATTTGGTTCAAAGAGGATGGGTGGGGGCCAGTGGAGGTTGGTGGGACAGTATTTTGTTTGCACCCATGAACCAGCCTCCATTGAGAGGCTCTTCAGGGCTGCTGACAAGGGACTTTTGCAGCCCTACACATGGGAAGCAGGGAGGTACTTGAGGAGCTTCTACCTGCTAACCTGGCACTCTACCACTGACCTACAACCCCTTGTGAAAACCCTTTCTTCCTCCCCAGACTCCTTTTGGCCAAAGAAAAAAATGCCTCCACTTTTCCCTCAAACACTGCCATCTCCATTAAAGTCATCCCTATGGCTTCTACTACGCATCCCCTCATCTTCCTCACCGTTTAACAACAGACGGTTCTTAAAAATATGAGAAGCACCACAAGAACCCAGGATCTGGCTAAGTGCCTTGAGTGAAAATGGAAATTCATTCTCAGGTTGTTATACTCTATGCCAAAAAAAGGAACCTACACCTGGAATGTTTTGGAAGGAGGGAATTAAAAGGCCTGATCTATTTGATGCTGACAACAGAACAGTGTACAGGTGCTTTCCTATTTTACCAGAAGGAACGAAGCATGTACAATGCAGGAAACAGCATTCAGGTAAACCTACCTGTCGTAGTAGTCACGCTGGAAGTCATAGTCCAGGTCAAAAGATGACCTGAAAGACAAAGCACATGAAACATGGTCAGGTCTCAGGGAGACCACCAAGGAAAGGAATCCTGCTCAGGAGGGCTGAAAGGAACAGGAGATTCTTTCGCTTCCCATTATCAGGAGTCCATTCCCAGTCTGGCATATCAAGGCTAAACACAGTTATTCACAGTGCAAGAGCGAAGGCAACCCTGCGTTTATCCAACAATCCCTCTGTCTGTCACCCACACTTCAAAGCCACCTGAGCTTTGCGCTGGGATCCAAGATAACAAATTGTGCCACCCGCAGGTATAAAAAAACCACTCTCCCACATGGCCTCTCACATTCACATGGAGTTGCTTGCACGCATGCACACGTACATATACACACGCCTCTACACACTCAGCTTCATTTCCTTGCAACCAGCTAGACAATTAAGACCTACGGAGACATTGCTCACTGCAGGGTACAAAGCCAGAGAAATAAAAAGAACAGAAATGTTAAAATAATGGAAAAAAAACGTAAGGGTCCCGACCTGACTAGAGGGGACGGAGAAGGTGGTGCGGCTACTGACCCGTACATCTCTGTGGCCGATCTCTTCACCCCAGCTTTGCCCCGGTTCAACTTCGGCTCGGCAGCCAGGTTAATATCTGGAACAGAGACACAGAGAGAGAGAGACATGCCAATTTTGAAAGTCAGCATCTCACAACTCTTGGAAACAAGTCGAGGCCTGCTATACATCTGGGCACTAATGTGTTGCCGAGCTCTCTCTGTTCTGGGATGGGACACATTGCCCTAAGGGATGGCATAGGATATGCTGCTAAAAGGTACAGATAACATAATGCCCAGTTGCAAGAGAGCCAGGAGGGTAGAAGACAAGCTATGAGCCATTAGCTTCAAGCAGGAACACCAAAAAAAGGCATTGTGTTTGGCAAAAAAATGATACTGAATAAGACATCTCATGTCAGCCAGGATCTTCAGCCAATTGCCAGTTGCAAACATAGACACTCAGCTTCTTACTGCTGGGTGGAAAAGTGCAACTCTTTCCCTTGCAGTAAATCTAAGCCACACAGTGACAGAACTAATATATTAAGCAGCACTTCCAAAGTAAGAGGGTTCACTGCAGGATGGATGGGCTACACAGAACAGACAATTTTTTTCCACACCACCTGGGGGAGGGGTGGCAGGAAAATGTTGTCTGGCAGAGGAAACACTGGAATGAAAGACAAGCAAGGCTGAGCAAGCTTGTAAATAGCTGCTCTACTCTGTCTCATGTGCAGAGTGAAAGTTTGTCCCAGTGACTAGGAAGGAAAGCTAGTCTAAAATGGAAGCGCACCAATATGCCATTATGTGACTACTAAACAGCTTGAATGGGCAACTAAGCCAATTAATATCTGTGGGCTACTAAGCTACTTGTACTGTTATTTACAGGGCTATGGGCAGCAGGGGAGAGAAGACAAAGCTGCTGGTTTCTCTGAAGATCAGGGATGTTGCTTTTCGATTGGAGGAATTTGGAACTGTGGCTTTCAAACAGAGCTGCATAAACACTCTTGTCTTGAGTCTTGCCTAATGAAACAATGAGCCAATTGCAATATTACAGGGATGCCGGCTGCACAAGTTGTGTCTCCTTTCCCTATACTTAGGCAAAACGGTGAACTGCTTTGAAGGAGCAATGCAATAAAAATGCTTTAGCTGCTCCGCTCAGGCTTTTTGGAGAGGAGTGGGGTAGAGTAGCTCAGAAGAGGATTGGTGCCAGGCTCCCTGCCCCAGCCCAGCATTGCCAAATACATATAAGCTAGTCTCAAAAGGGGAGACAAGGGTAGCCACAAGAGCGGGCTGGGTTGTGACATTCTGGACCCTAGTTCAAATCCCCACTGACTTGCCCAAGGACATCCACTCTCCTAGCTTCACACACCTGGATGCTGTGAGGACCAGGAAGACTGTCATAAACATACACAAACACCACACATACAGAGGAAGAAATGAAAAACCTGACCTAAAGGCTACCTCTACATGGTGATCAACATTCCTTATTTCCATAAAAGCCAATCAAGGCTCCAAGCTGCCTTTCTTTTCCCTCACCAACCCAAAATGACCAACAGCCCTGGAAGGATCTCGGGAAAGAAAGGCAGATGAAGAAAAAGAAAAAATCAGGAACCTGCTCCTGCTCCATCCTGCGGAATGGATCATTAGAATTTGGGTATACTTGATTAAGGCTTCAAAAGGTGTCAATAGAGAATTAGGAAAGACAGGCTTGTACCCCACCTTTCTGATGTTGCTCTGTGTGTTTACCATGTTTTGATGTTACTTGTAAGCTGCCTTAGAAGAAACTGTACCTTGAAAGGTGGAATAAAAATAAATACAATAAAATAAACATGGGCAACACTCTGCACTTCCACACAACTCAATATCTAGCTGTAAATTCTGACTTCCTTGCTCTCCTCTTTATAGACTTGCCACCTCCACTCTGACATCTAGACTGTCTCCGAAACGGAGCCGAAAGTATGTGCTTGGTTTGCGTATGTAGTTGTTTGGCTCTGCTAGCAGAGAGTGGTGTGTTATGTCTGAGTGTGAAATGAGGCAATAAGGAAGCAAGAGAGGTGCTTGGAAAAGGAACTGGTTAATGATTTCAGCCAGGCCTAAGAAAAAGGGTAAGCTAAAAACCACCACAAGGCGCTTACCTAGGACCTGGCCTGCGATCATCCTGCCATCTTCTCCTGCCACGGCAGCACGAGCGTTGCGCTCGTTCACGTACTGCACGAAGGCAAAGCCCTTGTGCACAGAGCAGCCCACGATCTTGCCGTACTTGGAGAAGATGGCCTCCACGTCCGACTTCTTCACCACTAGCGTGTTGAGATTGCCAATGAACACGCGGGAGTTCAGGGAGCGTGGGTCTGTCTTGTTGGTGACGTTGCTGGCCATGACTCAAGTATGCAGCAGAAACACAGGCTTGGTGCTGGAGGAGGAAGATTGTCAGAGAAGGGAAAGCAGTCACGTGGGATTTCAGCATCTTGACACATGCGCGCACACACACAGCCAGCAGAATACACACACAGCCTGGCAGGAAGCGCTTCCCCCTTTGAATGAATAGCTACGATCCCCGAGGCATGCTGGAAAATCTCAGATCCATCCTGCAAGCAGTAAGGCACAGCAGTATTGCTAAGCAACTGCATTTTCCTTTTTTAAAAAAATGATTGCCACTAGGCAAAGACCATTTTTCGTAAGGCACTAAAGGAAGTGAGGTGGCTTTGCCACCAGCCTGCCACAGAACCACCCACATTCTCTCACAAGAGACACCTGTGCCCACGTCAAGCCCTGGCTGTGCATAATATTGTGTCTAAAGCTAGCAGTGGTATTCCAAGATGGGTGGGTATCTCTCATGTCAGCCTGGTCTCAGGAGAAACTCAACCGCCAGACTATGGGGCAAACTAAGGCCTGAGGGCCAGATCCGGCCCAATCGCCTTCTAAATCTGGCCTGTGGAGGGCCCGGGAATAGGCATGATTTTAAATGAGTAGAATGCGTGCTTTTATTTAAAATGCATCTCTGGGTTATTTGTGGGGCATAGGAATTTGTTCATTTCCCGCCTTCAAAATACAGTCCAGTCCCCCACAAGGTCTGAGGCATAGTAGACTGGCCCCCTGCTGAAAAAGTTTGCTGACCCCTGCTCTGGACCCTTGTTTCAAGGACAAGCATATTGTGGGTAGAATCAATTTTACTCCCAGCCCTCAAATTTGCTTTTAACCAGTTTTCTAAGGAACACAACTACAGAAACCCCAGCTCCAGTTCAGATGAAACCAATACAAAAAGCTGTCACCAGCTAGCAGAATTTCTAGTAGTGAGACAACTCTCACAGTTTTCTCAACAAAACTTCTTTCAAAAGCAGTGAGTAGAATGCTATCTAACTTTGGGCCTCCATTTATAGATGCTTATGACAAAAGCACCAGGACCTTGCTGTGATCTTTAGATTCATTGATAAACATGGAAATGAGATTCTGGTTTGAGTTCCAGCCTCATTTCAACCACTTACATGGAGCAACAACATGGAGCCTGCTCATCTACACAAGTCTCTTGCGCACACCTAGTTAACAGTTATACTTAGAATATATTTTTAAAGCGACCGGTGGAAACTAAAATAAATCAGTATTGGAACTTCGTCTATGTACAAACTCAGAGTGGTCTTGTAATACATCTGAAAGTAGCCTGGGAAAGAAGTTTCAGCGTGGAGAAAGATTCAACGCTGCTCACCGCATTTTCTCACTCTCTCTCGCATGCATGCACACACACGTTCTCTCTTCTCTCCCTGCCCCCCCCAAGCTATTTACAGAAATCCAACAGGGCAAAGCCTTTTACTTTCCTGCTCTCACCTTGGCACATTTAGTTCTGTTGCATGTGATACTCGACAACCCAGACCTAAGCCATCAAGTGAACAGAGTGGGGGACTGATTGTTAAGTTTCGCTGCTGGAGGTCCATGTTCAGATTCTTTGTCCAGCAATGAAACTCCCAGAGGCTCGTGAACGCTCTCTGCCTATACTTGCTTCACAGGACTATTGCAAGAACAAGATGAGAATGGAGAGCAACCTCTGGATAATGAGTAGAGTCGTGGGAAAAACCCCAAGACCCTTCAAAAGATTCAACACTTTCGGTTCCAGCTGGCAGTTTTGATTTACATGATTTTTGTAATCAGAAACAAGGTAAATGTGTGTGTGTGGTCACAGCATACACTGAAGCCAAAGGCCAGCGAAACAGGATTAAGAGCAGGTGGTGTATATGGGACTGACAACATGCAGCAAAGCACAGGGACAGAAATTAGATTTATGGTGCTATCACCTTTCTGTGCGACCTCAAGGTGGGATGAGTGTTTCGTTAATCATCCTCTACCAAAAGCAATTCTAATGGCCAAATGTCAAGGGCGGTCAGAAGGCCCTCTCTGCAAGGCTCCAAGGAGACCCAGCTTTAAGCTCTGCAGGGTTTGATAAATCCACTTGCCTCCTCACTGTATGTGAGTGCTTCACCCCCAACTGATGACCATCCCTGCACTTCCATCACATCCTGTTTGCAGGCAAGTACCTCTCTTCACCACCACCACCACCCCGCCCAATGCTTCAGAGGAAGAAACAAGGTGTAGTCTTTTATTTTTCTGGTGAATTTTGTATTTTGTATACTGTATGCTTTTATCATCATAAGTCACTCTGAGACATTATTGTAGAAAGCAACAAATAAATGCAATAAATAACAACAAAAACAACATACTCTCTTTCTCATGCAAGTTGGGCTTTTGCAGCCCATGGCTCCCTCCTGCCAAAAACAGGGGAGAGGGATAAAGGAAGAAATGACACTATCTTTCTCTTTTCTGGAGGAATGAAGAGGCAATCTCTTTTCTTTCCAGTTCAATTCATGATGCAGGCGGCAAGGAGGTGCTGACACTTTCTTTCAGAAGTTGAACTCACCCGGGGGGGCAGGGACATCTCCCCCCCACCCCGAATCAGAAGAAAAGTGGTTTTGCTCCCTGGCGTTTCCACAGAAAGCATCAACTGTGTTTTTCGGTTGTCTCTTTAAAATTTCTATCTATCTATCATGGGATTGGGGGGGGGGTATTAGCCCTCCTTTATTCCCTTTCCTGCACAGACAAAAGGGTCACTTCCATCCGTTCCCATAGATGGTTCTCATACATCAAGCTGCAATTTTGCAGAAAATGCCAGGAGTCCCTCTCTGCTGATGCCTTCGGCAAAAACCCAACTGGGAGAAAAAAAACAAACGTTCTCTCTCTCTCTATTGCAAGTTAGGCTTTGGCAAATTGCAGCAAGCTAAGGAGGAGGAAAGGAATGACTAGGTTTTCTTCCACACGTTTTTTGGAAGATGCAGAGGGGTGCTGCTTTCTTCAAAAGCCCGGTCCAGAAGCTCTCTGCACATTCTACAGCTCTCAGGGAAAGCAATGGGGAGCAAGCCATGGTGGTAGCAATGAATGGGATTAACTCACAAACCAAGCCAAAATATGCTGGCTGTCGATTACACATCTGTCCATGAGTTACCATGCCTCAGCAAGGCCATATTATGACCACAAAACTTAGTTCTGAAGAGAGGTCCCATGACTTTAGCTGGCACCTAGCATGCACTTCTTCTGTTTGTCGCTGCCAGGAGCGTGATGTACCCAAGGCCTAAAGATTGGCTATTATTTCATTATTAACCAGAGCTTTTATCAGCCACCATCACTACCCTTAAAGATGTTCATGATGTAACTTTTCACAAAGCTATTGCCTGAACTTGCTTGTTTCATTCCCGCCCCTGTTGCCTTTCTCATGTCTAGCATAAGTCTGCTGGCAGAGACTTCCTTTAATCTCTGCAATGCATCAAGGTAACTTGGGTACTGTGACATACTCTAGTATTTTTATATATAACTCAACTGTTAAAAGAGAGTGTTCCAATCTGTTAATTAGGGTCAAGTAACGGGCAAAAGATTCCAAGTATGTGCGCATGCACTGCAAAGTTTAACACAGAATTATACTCTGGGAGTGTAGTTTTGTTGCCACTTTTAAAAAAAGAAAGAGTCCACCACACAAAACTGGCCAGTTCACCCCCTACCCACAAAGCCCAGCGCAACAAGATATACTGAGCTTGGTTGCTGAACTTGGTTTTGCTCCCCAAAACCAGACAACCCCTCTCCCCCACTTCTAACCCTTAAAGTGGCTGCATGTTCAGAAGGCAATGAAGACCTGAACAGGTCCACTCACATCTACTAACAGAGTTTTGCTTGAAGTGCAGGTGTGTACTCTTTTTCAGCAAGGCCTTTAAGAGGGATGGCTGCTGAAGCCTGGAAGTAAGCCAACTCAGCCCCTTACCATCAGCCAAGATGGGTTTGTGTCTGCTCCATGCAAGGCTCCGCAGGTAACTGCCTCTGCCAATCCAGACTGGGCATCCATGACGGCGTTTGTAAGGGAGGGACGGTGTGGAGGAAAATATCAAGATGGGAACTGAAGGGTACGAGACAGGAAGGGGGGGGCGGGATCTGACCAAGGGAAGGCTGTCACTGCTAGCGAGCGATCAGCACCACAGACACATTGCAGCAACAGTTGAAAAATTGCACAGAAATGAAATATTAAAAATTAAAAAAAATAAAAATAAAAAAGTGTAGGAACTTCCTGAGATGTTCAAACAAGTTCTGGAGAGAAATTGGGTTCCGTTCTTAGCAGCCAGGCAATCAGGGAGGGAGGGAAAAAAAGAGTTAAACGCGATCAATCCACTTTTTTTAAAAAAATGTGTTTTAAAAACCTTGTTGTGTTTTTCCCCCCCAAGGGGTTAAAAGCCCAGAGTCAGTTAGGACCACTCAGAAAAACTCCATTTTCATCCGGTTAAAAATCAGCAGTCATTTTTTTTAAATCACCACCATCAGCAACACATCATCATAGTCACAGTCACCACCATCATAGTAGCAATAATATCAATAAGTAACTAGCAACAACGATAAAAAGGAAATCAGTGGAAAGGCAGGAAAAAATTGGAAAAAAATTGAATAACTTACTGTAGCTGAAGATCAAAAAAATCTCGCTGTAAAAAAACAAAAATAAAAATAGCCCAGATTAGAAAAACCGGAGGTGTAAAAAGGTCAAAGTCAGTAACGATTTTTTTCCTCTCTCTCTCTTTCATTTTCTGTCCTTTTTTCCCCCCTCTCACCCTCTTGTTCCAGCCACGGTTACTGCAGAACCAGGCAGGGGAGAGCTCCCGGCAGGAAACAATCCAAGCCCTTTGAACACCATTTCTAAAAATGCCTGAGAGAGGTGAGCTCATGCGAGGCTAAAAGATTCCTCCTCTAACCCAGCTGCTGCAGGAAAAAAAAAAGTGATTTTTTCCCCAAAATTAACATCTTTCAATCCAGCTCTGGCTTCACTGCAAGGCCAACGCTGGGCCGCAAAGCCACCGTTTTGATAAAAAAACGGCTCATTCTAAGACATTGGGAGGGGTGTGCGTGCGGTGGGGTGGGTGGGTTTTTTTAAATAAAAAAACAAAACACGAAGCTGAGCTCCAGTGAAGGAAGGGTTGGGGGTTTTCGCCTTGCTGCCCTGTGAAAGGAGAAGGGACAGGATGAGTCAGGGTACCCGAGAAACGTTGCCCACATCTCCCAGTTCCCCCCTCCCCAGCGCAGAGAATGCCAGTCCCACGTGGCTACCCCAAGCTCACAGCTGACGTCAAAAGGCACCAGGAAGCTTGTGGTAGGAGGTGAAGTACATTGAAGCTCATACACAGATACCCTGAAGCAAAGATGGAGGAGGAAGACTTCACAGAGATTCTGATGCATGCAACTGAAGGAGAAGCAACCTCTACAAACCTCATAAGCGTTAAGAGCATGAGGGCACTGCAGCCCAATGCTCTATGCATCACTCCCCAGAAGTGCAATACATGCACCCACCTACTGGTTTTTAGCATCATGTTCAAAACTGGAAGCCATCCTAGTCCAGGGTACCAATTTTGATAAGCCATTAATTAAATTCTAGCCCAACTGTTTTATCTGCCTTCCCACCCAGCATTTAAATGCCAGGAAACTACTGCAGATAAACCACCCAGATTTACACTTTAAATAAATAATCCCCAGGTCTCTCAGAAGAGGAATTCATAGGCAGAACACTCCTTTTCTTTACTGTGCTATGTTACCCCTGGAAGGATATAGGGTATGTTTAGTGCAGTCAGCACAGGCAGGGAAAATAACAAAGAGAGAAGGGCAGGTCATTTTGGAATTACTTGGCAAAAGTGATAAGCAAAACAGGTACAAGGTTGTTGATGCCAAACACATTTTGATGACAGCTTCAAGCAAACTGAAATGCTCTTTTGGACCAGATCTACTAACACTCTGGAGACAGGTGATGAGTATGTGGTGGTGCTAGGAAGAAAGACTTCCAGCCACGTTTCCTCAATGTTACTGGGGGAGGTCAATGCATGGTCCCTGGCAGAAGAACCCAGACGTTCTACCTTTCCACCCTTTGTACAAGTTCTCAACAAATGGAAGGAAGCATGTTAAGAGAGAAGAAGGCTAATGTATTCAGATTATTCTACTAAGCATGACCCAGCACGTGGAAGACTTGGATTCAAACTCCTGGTCTTGTGCAAATCCTGTGGCAACTCCTTACAGAACAGCTAGTTCAATCTTGCATGAACACTTGCAGGCTTCAGCTTTCAAAAAGTGACACCAAAAGCTCGTAGCCTTTAAGGTATCATGAGACTCATGCCTCCCTCCCACCCCGTTCCTGCTGCAAACTAATAAAACTAATTGAATGGAATTTTAAGTAAACTGGCTATTAGGTTCAGTGTTACAGGTGCTAATAAAGAGCTATGTGCTGTAAGCTAGCGAGCACCCAGGACCTGTCCAGTCAATGAATGGGTTTTGGCACACCAGGGATAACTGTTTTGCAATTTACACATCTGGACTGGTGTAAGTGCAATCACTGGTGCTGTTCATACAGAACGAATCCTGCCCTCACTATGTTCCCATTCCCCTCCTATGTGATTTACATATCTCTAGGCACCAAACGACAACAGCCCTCTTCTCTCAGACGTTTGGCTAATTAAACTGTCTAAAATGGGGGGGGGGGGTGTTTTTGTTTGTTACTATGTTACACATTTCTGTGTTTTTATATTGTGAACTGTCCCTGTGAATCTTGAATGAAAGGTGTTATAGAAATGTAATAAATAAGAATAAGAATACTGTAAACCATCACTGTAAACCTAGCTTATGGCTAGGCATCAATACCAGACCCTCACTCCTGATCCTGTCTATCTCTGTCTTTCACAGGAACACCACGTCCTACCTCAAAGCAGGATGTTAGCTCTTCAACATGATGTTCACCAATATTAAGTGCTGTACAAATTACTTCTAAACTAACAACACAATTAGCAGCCACATGATTCTGAAGGATTCCAAGTGAAATGCAAGATCAGGCTTTTGTGGGCTTCCCCAGGAGCAGAGCAGTTAACCCTACTTAACCCTGTTTCAAAGCTGGGGTCTATATGAGCTGAACCCAATTCTCTTCCTTAACAATTAAACTTTTTAAAACGCAAATCCAAATTCAAGACAGGCAGCATAGCTGTACTGAATCAATTGCAGCTGGCAAAGGCAATATACAAAAGTGTTTTTGACTCCCATTTGCTAAGCATGCAAAACAGACCCAATATAAATAGGCCACCCCAAATTATACAAAATTTAGAGCAATAATTGACAACAATCTATACCAGGCCAGGGAACTACTAATGATTTTTTTCCTTCAGAAAAAGCAGCAAGGAGTGGGGTGGCAGCTCTAAAGACGAACAAATCTAAAAATGAACCTTAGGTCCAGGTTATCTGAAAGACCATGCAAACATTCCTGGGTTCTGAGATCTTTGGGGCAGGCCCTTCTCTGGGTTACACCACCTTCACAAGCACATTTGGTGGAAATGCAGGAGAAGGCCTTCTGGATGGCTGTTCCCAAATTTTGGAACTCCTTAGAGAAGCTAGACTGGTTCCTTCCTAACTGTCCTTCTGCTGGCAGGTGGAGACTTGTTTTATTCCTAAAGCCTTTTGAGAACTGTTTTTAAAGAAAGGGCTTTGAGTAGTTCTGTGCTGCTTTTACTATCTGTATTTTAATACAGTAGATTTATTTTTATATTGTTTTAATTCTCTGTTTAATAACTTTTAAACTTCTGTGTTTTATCCATGTTGTTTTAATTTCTGTAAACCCCCTTGAGTCCTGGTTCTGTGAGAAAGGCAAGATAATATAGCAATCTTGCTGCAATCCTATATACGCTTCCTTTGGAACTAGCCACATTAAGCTCAGTAATATGTACTTCCAAGAAAATCTAAGATTGCACAGCCTATTGATGTGCCACAAGGCATTCTGCTTTTGCAGCAACTGATTATTTATTTAAAGAATGCATACCCTGCTTCTCACTGTATTCCTCAATGTGACAAACATGATCCCTCTGGAACTTTTATTTTTTTTAACAAAAAAAGTTCAGTATGTTCCCACCTTAAGCGCAATTAAATACTGCAAATTAATTGCATGTATGCCAGTTTAATAGCGCCTTTTGTGTTGTCTTTTCCCAGTGCGAAAAAGCTTTTAATCTCCCGGGCTTGCTTTGCAGGTTCTGGGAGGCTCTTGGGACGGCCCAGCAACAAGATCTCAAAAGAGCCTCCCGGAGCCTGGTAAGCAAGGTGGAGAATTTAAAAACTCTCTGCCTTGCTTGGTAGGCAAGGATGGTCACATGAGGGCAGTTCTAAGGAGGCAGTTCAGAGATGTGTTTTTTCTTATACATACCATCCCCAGAACACAGCCCCGGTGCAAGATGCTAGCATACTGTAGTTAAGCAACAGTCTGTATGACTTCTAATTTTTGCAGGGTCTTGCAGGCTGAATGGCACAAAGGCTAAGGAGGACCAGGAGACCTGAGCATGTAAGAACAGCTTTACTCCAGTTGTCACTAGAGAGCTTCCAAGCTCAATTCAATATGCTGATGCTAACCTGTAAAGCTCTCAATATTTGTGGCCAGCTTCTCTAAAGGACCACCCTTAGCTCTTATGATTCTCAGTGTCTGTAAAAAAACAACAACAAAGGCCCTTCTGGCATGCCCACAAGGGGAACACAGAAAAAACAGCCTTTAACAATATCAGATTGCATGCCCATCTTGCTCAGTATTGCCCGTTCTGACTGGCAGCACCTCTCCCCAGGTTACAGGAACCTGACTTTATGACACCAGGGACTAAGCCTGTGACCTTACTGCCCTTCCCATAGTTATTAGGCTGGTGGGCTCATGTGTGGTGGCACCATGGCTCTGAAACTCCCTCCCTGCAGAGCTAACAAAGCCTTCAAGCATGCCTCAAAAACTCGATTTGTTGCAACCTGCTACACTTTTCCCAGTTGTTTTTATGTCACTCATTCCTGAGACTTGTTGGTTGCTCAGAATTCTTTTTTATTACTATTATTATTATTATTATTATTATACAACCCAAATGCATTTCAAGTGGATCTCCTCCAGTTGTGCACTGCCTTGTGAGGGCTAAGAGGCAGGATATAACATATATATATATATATATGGCGCACCCGCGCAACTCTTCAGCCATGTTTATTCATGAAGCAGCCCCACTGAGCTCAGAAAAGCGTGGCCAGGAGCGCAGCCTACATTAGACCACTAATCCGGATTAGGCCAGGAGAGAGGGCGGGCGGGCGCCATGCCTTCTGCACGGGAAAGGAACACGCGGGCAGAAATGTCACTTCCTGACCAAAGCCAATAGCCTCACGTGGGTCGTTTTTTGTCCCACCGCCACCTAACTCTTTCAAGGGGGGGGGATGAGGATTATTTCCTCCTCCTCCCCCGCCCAAGTACAATGGTCTCTTCCAGAGGCAACACATATGAATTAGCTCGGAATGTACCATTTGGAGTAAGCGGGGGGAGGGAGGAGGGAGAATCTCTCGCATCTTCCCATTTCCCTGCGAAGGCCGGGAAGGGAGATACCAAAGTGGCGGGGGAAGAAAACAAGAGAGAAAGGGCGGTACCATCATTAACTCCCCCCCCCCTCGGCCGAAGCGCGAAAAAGGAAAGAAGCGTCGCCGCTCCTTCCTTGGCCACCTGAGGCGTTAATATCCAGGCAACGAACTCACCAGGAGGCCCCAGCTCCGGAACGGCGTCGTTTTCCTTATCTATAGGGCTTTTTATTTTCCTCCTTCTTCTTTCACATATACCTTCGCCTCATCCACGCTCCGGACTCTTCACAAAATGGCGCCCCCGCCGCCCTCTGCCTCTGCGCCGCGCAGCCGGGACGTAGCGCGGCCCCTTTTCATGCTACACCATCTGTCATTGGAAGGGGGCTTTATATATGGACGTCGTTCATTGGCTAGCATTCGCTCTCAATCAAATGGGGACCAATAAGCGCCCGCTGAGGTTGTGAAGGTGAGGACGAAGCAATAATAGGGAGAGGGAGAGATTTGCGACGTGAAAGGCGGGACTCGAAACGCGATAGGCTAGCAGGGGTGTCGCTCTGTGTCCCGGTTGTTTGCTTTGTGATTTGACAACTGGGCTGTCAGTCCAACCTTCCCTCGCAGTGATTTCTGCTGTTCATTAATTTTCCCCACCCATTTATTCCCCAGCTTCCTTTCCTGAATGGTGTCCATCCCTGCCACTCATCTCTTCTTGGTTTGTGATAGGTCAAGATCTTACAGGCAGGGACCAATGGTGCCTAAAAGGATGTTTCAATAAATAAATTAGGTGGCTTCACGTACATCCGGCTCCCTTGGGGAAGTAAGGCTCCATTGCCTACGAGCGAATGACGTAAGTGAAGCCTCGAGTAGTCATTGGACACCGCGCAACCCTAACACAATTGGGCCCCGTTAAAAAAGGAGGCGTAACTTCGGCTTTGCTCGGCCAATAAGTGCTTGCCTTGTGCCCAGACTCAAATTTTAATTGGTATGTTTGAAAAGTATCCCGCCCCATAAACCTGTCCCTTTATTTTATTTTGCCTTACAGACCTCTTGGTATAGCCTCATTTTAATTGTCCACCTTCTCCCACATTCTATCTTGAGATTGTAGCTGCCTGCACATCATACGTTTAAATGAAACGATTTTGTCCCAAGAATCCTGGGAACTGTAGCTTGCCCTTCACAGAGATGAGGAATTATAGTTCCCGTAATTTTTATTTATTTTTTACAAAAAAAAATTTTGGGAGGGAGAAGCATGTAAAATGTACAGTACTGTATGTACACAGCCTAAAAGCAGCCAAGTTTTTGCCTCCCCCTTTATGCTTTGTTTACCTTCTAGCCCTGTAAAGAATTCTGGAGAACTTAGTTTGGTTCCCGTAAGGTTCCCTATGGCGGATTTTAAAATCTTAAATTATGTTCAATTTTCTTGCAGGCAAATGCACATAGGTCTGCAACTGTTCCAGGCTGTGCATTTTACTGGGAAATACGTTCCACTGAAATTATCAAGAGCAGGTTTTTCTCATGTACTCTTGAAACTAACATGAAGAAACTGAAGAATCTGAAGAAGTTTATCTGAAGTGTGCATGCACACAAAAGCTTATACACAGAACAAACTTAGTTGGTCTTTAAGGTGCTACTGGACAATTTTTTAATTTATTTCGACTGCGTCAGACCAACACGGCTACCTACCTGAATTTAAGAAACTGAGTTTTCTTTTTTAAATTTCTCCTCCCTCCTGATCCCTTTTTATTTTGTGTTGTGCATTTTAGATTGCAAGCCTGAGGGTAGGGACTGCCTTATCGCTGACCTTTATAAACCACTCTGGAAGTTTTAAAAAAGTTTTAAATAAATGAGTAGAATGTTTGGCATCACAACTCACTTACTTAGAATTAAGCCCACTTTACTAAACCGGATTTGCTTCTGATTCAGCACAGATAGCTAGGAAACATAGTCTTACAAGTGCAAGAATTTAGTTAAGCTTTGGGATGTCAAAAGCAAGTATATGTAAGGTGATAATTAGGCCCATGTGTGCATTTGACCTGTGTTTCTAAACACTGAAATTAGCATGAATTAAGGGCTATTTAAGGCAAGCAGATACTTCCTGTGATATGTTGAAAGCAAATTAAATGAGACTAATCCCCTCTGAGGTGGCAGCATGAGGGTAATGGGTCACCAGCATGGCACAGGATTAAAGAAGTGGGGCCCCTCCCTGATTTAGAAAAAGGGCAAAGTTTAGGTTAGCAAGGTTAGAGGAAGCAGGGATGTGACTTGAGAGAGCAAGGCAAGGTGCAGTACAAGAAAGAAGCTAGACTGTCTTGGAATACCGATGCTCTGAACTCTAGCAGGCTCAGGTTGTATATATATGTAAATAAACCATATAGTATAAAGACACTGCAGTTTCCTCTGTGCCTTGTTGTTCAAGAAGAAATACAGACCCTGGTAAGCATGCCTGGAACTCCCTGGAATCTCAAACTGCTGGCAGATTGCAGGTGGTATATAACAATTGCCAATGCCCAGTGGGTCACATGAGTAACTTTTCACCCACTAAACAGCTACTTACACCTCAACCTGATGAACAACAGTGTGGTGAAAGCTTGGAATATGGTTCACTTCCAAAAGTTCTCTATCCTCGAGGCTGTTTTGCCAATCCAATACAAAGAATGCTGTTCCAGTACTCTTGACCATAAAAGGTTGTTCCTGTTCCTATACTCTTATCTTGGGGCAGGAGGTCACCAACTCTAAGAGCGCTCCTGGCGCCGTTCCTGGGTCTCTTGTCAGACTTGACAAGGTCTATGCGTCTTTGTGGTCAGGATGTAAGATAAGACCCAGACGTGCCATCCCTTCTCCACTGGAACTGGCAAGGCCATCCATTGCCGTCACGGACTGATAAAGGAGACGGCTTTGAGCACTTGTTTATACAGCTGGCTTTCTGTTTATACATTGACTCTAGAGCTCAAGTTAATGCATTTTAGAAATGCTCCCTTGGAGGAGGAAAAATGAGGATTTTGGGGCCCGTTTCAGACTGCACAGAAACCCATTCCTTCCCCCTTCAGTCCTGCCAGCATCCTCCACTGCATTTCCCCCCCCTAGACATGGATGGCTTATAAGGTCCCTGCTCCCCCACATCAAATCCTCACAACAAGTTCACTGGGCTCTGAAATTGCGGCTGGCCCAAAGTCACCCAGAAAGCTTCATAGCCAAGTGAAGAACCTGGGACTCCTTGTTCTTCGAATGTGTGCACATTGTGTAAAAAGTGTTTGGGGAACAATGCATCAAAAAGCAGTGTTTCATAAGGAACGAAATGATAAGACACACGATCCAAGGGATAGCTCAGTTGGTAGAGCATGAGACTCTTAAGCTCAAGGTCATGGGTTTGAGCCCCACATTGGGCAAAAGATTCCTGCACTGCAGGGGGTTAGACTAAATGACCCTTGTGGCCCCTTCCAACTCTACAATTCTAAGATTCTAAGGATACAGATTGATTGTTGCTAATGTTTGCCCACTGCTTTGCAAACAAGTGGTGGGATGCACAGCCAACGGAGGTTTGTACACAGCAATAGTCTTGGCACTCTCAACTACTTTGATGACACAATAGCTCCCAGGCTACCATACTACTTTTAAGTTGAGTCCACACCAACAAACTGCAAAGCAGTAGCTAGTATGCCATAATGGGCATCTTACACAAAATGCCCTTTTAATAATCTGGGCAATTTCTCTTGCATACTGCTTTCTTCCTCCTATATACATTCTGGTGGGACCGACTACTTTGCCCATCAACATTCTCCTTTTGGCAAGCTCCACACCATGTAATATCTCCTCTACCGTACCCACCCACTATGTATGTATAATCCCAAAATTCCCAATGCTCTTCTTGGGAGTGAAATCACAATGCAACTTTTGTATATTTTTATTTTTTCATTTGAGGAGGCTGGGGAGCTTTTGGTATACAAACCCTAAAACACCATCAGATTCAATCACAAATCCCTGCATAAAACAGTCAGTGAAATGACAAATCACATTGCCGCAGAATGATAGCTATGTTATTTAGAAGTACCCACAATGGAGTCAGGACCTACATTTCTCCAGCAAAGGTCAAAGCTTTGATCATACCAAGTTATCAGAAATCAATCAAAGTGTTTGGGAAATCTGGGGACAAGAGTGCTTTCAACCACAGATGGCAAATTTGGCTACAGCCCTCCAATAGGGCTGGGCGATATATCAATATATAATCATCCGAAACCATTTGAAGTCCATAATTGTGATATCAGCTTCATAATTATTGACCTGGCAATATATTGTGAATCATAATGTGTGTGTGTGTGTGTGTGTGTGCACGCTATGCAAAAATTGCAATGTGGGAAAAACTATGAAGCCAGCCAATGCTTCTCTTAATTCCTGCAGCCCCTGTTAACTCTGCTGGCTCAGGTCTCCCTCATGCAAGGGGGCAGCAAATCACAAGAGAAGGGGGTGGAATCACAATGCAGGAAAATCTGTGTTGCCTCTACATAGCTCCATCCTTATTTCAGGCTGTGATATGTTGGTATATCACAGTGTCTAATTGGTGATATATCAAAATGTTGAAAACCAGATATCGCCCAATCCTATTTTCCATATATTGTTGGGCTCCAACTCCCCTCATTCCTGAGTGTCGGCCCATATGGCTGCAGCTGATGGGAGCTGTGGTTCAGCAGCCTTTGGAGAGTGACACAGGTTTCTCGCTCCTGCTTTCAACCATCATACTTTGTGTTATGTACTGAAGTTCTCACCCTGGGCCAGCAGGGGGATACTGTAGATAGTTATGCAAATGAAGGATCGAAAGTGACGTTCAGTGATTGGATAGTTTTAGAAAGTTGTTACAGTAACGTGGTCCTGGAGCTCTATATAAGCAGGCTGACTGAGCCCTTCAGTGCAGTTCTGTCCTGGCCTGTGAATAAACAAGAGCTGTTTGAAGAATTGCTGTGTCGTCTGATATGTTTACCCACAACTTAACACTTTGCATGTGGAGCGTTAGCCGGGTATGTCCTGTGCCCCAAGCTGGTCTTGCATCTGTCTCCCGGTGGTAAAGCACGGAGGAAAACCTTGCTGTTCTGACTTGTTTGAGACTCCTGCCCTGCAAGCCTTGAAAGTGAAGGTGTATCTGAACTCTGCCCGAATATCCTTGAGGAGCAGGATGTACAGAAGAGGATCAAAGATGTTACCCAAGGTGGTAAAGAACAAAGTTGTACGTTGGTAGATGAAGATCTTCCTCACCAAGTCGCAGCTTTCAACTGCCTTCCCGTGGAGCATCACTTCCCAGAAATACCTGTAATACGAAGTCACCTGGTGAGGAGTGAAGAGGACGAAAAAGGTGATGACCGTGAGAGAGATGAAGCCGTAGATCTGCCTTTTCGTTTTCTGCTCCAGAGAGGCCACTTTCCTGAGTTCGTACAGGACCCGGAAGTAGAAGAACCCCATGAGCAGGAACGGTATAAAGAAAGAGAAGACCGTGATGCTCACCCTGAACTCGGCGTATTGATAGTTCAGCCTGGATCCATCCAGGCAGCGCTCCTGCGGCTGCTCCTCTGGCCACTCACCTCTGATCTGTATCCCGATGCCGACCGCGCAGAAAGCTGCCACCAGGAGCCAACAAACGGCGCTCACTTTGGCAGCGCCTCGCATGGTCTGCAGCCTGTGGAATCTGAGCGGGTGGACCAGGCCGAAATAGCGCTCCATGGCGATGAGGCACAAGAAGTTGTTTTTGGCGTAGAAGTTGGTGCGGAACGCCAGGCCGGCCACCGCGCACACCTCCTTCCCAAGGCTGGTTTTGTGATCGTGGTAACTGTAGTACATCCATAAAGGGAGCGTCAGGGTCTGCAAGATGTTGGCTAACACCAGGTTTGCAATGTAAACAGAGAGGATGACAGACCTCTTCATTTGGTGACTCAGGGCCCAAAGCGCCAAGCTGTTCAGAGGCAGCCCGACCACCACCACCACCGAATAGATGGGGATTTGAAAGTACTTGGTGATGTTGACAGGCAAAGGGTGGCATGAGATGTTCATGGCGCCTATTGGAAATTATTGTGGGTTTTCTCCCCTCTCTTCCTATGGAGCCCCATTGCTCCGGACTGTCATCTCACAGCCGTTGCAGACAGCGCATACCTTGTTGAACTTGCTGGCCGCCAGACTCGTTCCACAGGGTGTGGAGGTGGAAACGAAGGACACTGCGGACAAGGTGGCAAATGCCCCTGCTGCCACTTCTCTTGTTTGGTGGCCTGTCCTTCCCTCTAATCCAGATCAGCTTTTAATTAAGAAAAAGAAAATAGAGAGGGCTTCTCAAGACCTGGGATGGGAAAGATTGCAGGAAAAATGGATCAGGCAGTTCTCAGACTTGGAAATAAGTGATAGACCATGCTGTGTGTAACCGCCTCCTTCCCCCGCCCCCCAAAGGTCTGCAATCCTAATGTACCTTTTGCACATGGTTGTGGCTCTGTGGTCTAAACCACAGAGCCTAGGGCTTGCCGATCAGAAAGTCGGCGGATCAAATCCCTGCGACAGGGTGAGCTCCCGTTGTGCAGTCCCAGCTCCTGCCAACCTAGCAGTTCGAAAGCACGTCAAAGTGCAAGTAGATAAATAGGTGGGAAAGTAAACGGCATTTCCGTGCGCTGCTCTGGTTTCACCAAAAGCGGCTTAGTCATGCTGGCCACATGACCCGGAAGCGGTACGCCGGCTTCCTCGGCCAATAAAGCGTGATGAGCGCCACAACCCCAGAGTCGTCCACGACTGGACCTAATGGTCAGGGGTCCCTTTACGTTTACCTTTATGCAATCCTCTTACCTGGGAATACAACCCTCCTGAATAGATAGATGCCTAGGATTGCTGGCCAGTTAGGCATCACCCCAAAAGGCATGGGTCACCCCTCCACAGTATGCAACTTTGCGTTTTTTTTAAAAGACCATCTGATTATCTATCATTTACCATCCATTTATATGCAAATTTAGAAAGATTCACTATAAGAAGAGTGAGAAGATGAGTGTAGATAACAGGAAAGGTAAAGTGTAAAAGACCTCTGGATGCTTAAATCCAATCAAAGGCGACTATGGGGTTGTGGCACTCATCTTGCTTTCAGGCCGAGGGAGTTGGCAAAGAGATCCACAGAGAATGCTGTGGCAATGGCTTTACATGCTGTCCTGACTCATTTGGAGAAGCAAGGGAACTATGCGAGACTGTTATTTGTAGACTTTAGTTCTGCATTTAATACTATTCTTCCGCATAGATTGGTGCCCAAATTATTAGACCTGGGACTTCCACCATGTTTGTGCAGGTGGATATTAGATTTTCTATCAAACCGTTCCCAAAGGGTCAGGCTGGGTTCCCACGTCTCTGCGAATCTCATCACGAATACAGGGATGCCGCAGGGGTGCGTGTTGAGCCCGCTTTTATATACTCTCTATACAGCTGACTGTGCCCCCAAATACCCCAGTAATAAGATGATTAAGTTCGCAGATGATACAACTGTGGTTGGTTTAATCACGGCTGGAGAGGGGGAGGTGGCCTATAGGACGGAAGTTGAGCAGTTGGGGGAGTGGTGCAGGAAAAACAACTTACTCCTTAACATAAAGAAAACAAAAGAGATCATTGTGGACTTTAGGAAATGTAAATTGAATATTCAGCCACTTATTATTGAGAGGAAGTGCGTGGAACAGGTCTCGGTGTTTCGATTTCTGGGAATGGAGTTGAGAGACGACCTAACCTGGGGAGAGAACAGCAAAGACCTGATGAGGAGAGCACAGCAGAGGTTATATTTTCTGAGAATCCTCCGGAAAAACAATCTCCCAAAGGACCTGTTGATGAGATTTTACCATTGCACTGTGGAGAGCATATTAACTTATGGTCTCTGTGTGTGGTTTGGGAGCTGCACGGCCAGGGAAAAAACAATGCTATCCAGGGTTGTAAAGACTGCAGAGAGAATAATTGGGTGCACTCTTCCCACCTTAGATCAAATCTATGCTGCCAGGTGCCATAAGAAAGCGGCAGAGATAGCACAGGATAGTACGCACCCCGGAAATGATCTCTTTCAGCTTCTGCCTTCTGGAAGAAGGTATAGGGTTATAAAGGCCAGGACTAGCCGCCTGAGAAACAGTTTCTACGCAAATGCAATTCTGGTTCTAAACACAGCATAAGGGGTCTCTATAATATAGTGCATTTTAAAATGGGGTTTTTGAATGTTTTATGTAGTTTTGTAGTAGTTTTATGTAGTTTTTATGTAGTTTTTCAATTTCATTGTTCTACATGGGACAGTGACAATAAAGATATTGTATCGTATCGTTTGTCCACAGACAGCTTTCTGGGTCATGTGGCCAGCACATCTAAGCCGCTTCTGGTACAACGGAACACAGTGACGGAGGCCAGAGCGCACGGAAACACCGTTTACCTTCCCACCACACTGGTACCTATTTATCTACTATTTATCTACTTCGGTTTAAGAATTTAATTTGTTCTGGAGGTCCGTTCTTAACCTGAAACTGTTCTTTTCATTTCTGTAACCTGAAGCGTCTGTAACCCGAGGTACCATTGTAAAGGCAGCTTCTGATATTCCTCAAATTAAGGTGGATATCACCACCTTAATTGCCAAACAAAGGCTTTGCCCATTAGGCAACCGGAAGGCTTTCAGAACCCAGCGGACTTGGCTGCCCTCACATATCCTGGCAATGTCTGTTTCTGTTCTCAGGCCCCGTTCCCATCATCTGAAGATCAAGGGAGCCACAGCAGGTGTCCCTATCTTATAAACTTCTACTGCCAAAGAGCTCCCTTTCACCGTTGCAGAACAATGCTTTCCTCCTCGTGCTGCTGAGCATTGATGAATGAAAAGCCAAGCCTGCGCACAGGGAATTTCCATGACATTTGACTGCGGTGATAACCTTCCTGTGGTTGTGTCCCTTCATAACCCACAGTCTGTCAGACTCTGACCTCATCTGTGCCTGCGATTGAATGGAAGTCTGCCCACATGCTCAGGGGCAACTTCCTCAGTGTAGAGAAGAAACCGCTTGCAGACAGGAATAAAGAAGGAAGGGAGATGGGTATTTACTGGTATTTTTCTGGGTGATTTGAAATATATTCTAGGTGGGACATTGGCCTAACCCAGCAGGCTCTTCTTATGCTAGTAGTAGTAGTAATAATAATAATAATAATAATAATAATAATAATAATTTTATTATTTATACACCGCCCATCTGGCTGAGTTTCCCCAGCTACTATGGGCAGCTTACAGCACATAAAAAATTGTAAAACATTAGACATTAAAAACCGCCCGATACAGGGTTGCCTCCAGTTATCCAACAATAGCAAAATGTAAGAAGCCGGCCCCAGCCCCAGTTAGATTGCTGGAAAAGATTGCCAGAAGGAAACTATGTCAATTTTATTTGAAAGCCAATGGGTGAGCTTGGTTTGGTGACTGATCACAAATTCCCAGTGTTTAGGAATAGACAAATCTATTGATTTCAGGTTCTATTTTTTCCATACATTTAAAGCACTCCCCCCCTCCGGGGGGGGGGGGGGGAAGAATCCTAAGTACTGTAGTTTATCCCTCCCAGAGCTACGAATCCCAGCACCCTTAAATTACAGTTCCAATGAGTCCTTTCTGGGGGGAGGTGGGGAGTTGCTTTAACTGTGCTTCAACAGTATGGTGTGTGTGCACAGCCGGGGCTGCATCCGGAACGAGCAGATTCCATTCTTCACTTCCTTAGGTTGTATTTAAGTACCGTATTTTTTGCTCTATAAGACTCACTTTTTCCCTCCTAAAAAGTAAGGAGAAATGTGTGTGCATCTTATGAAGCGAATGCAGGCTGCGCAGCTTTCCCAGAAGCCAGAACATCAAGAGGGATCGCTGCTTTCGCTGTGCAGTGATCCCTCTTGCTGTTCTGGCTTCTGGGATTCAGAATATTTTTTTTCTTGTTTTCCTCCTCCAAAAGCTAGGTGCGTCTTATGGTCTGGTGCGTCTTATGGACCGAAAAATACGGTACATCCTGCCCAGAGCAGACCCATTCAAATCAATGAACCTAAGTTAGGCATGCCTGTTAAATTCATCAGGTCTGCTCTGAGAAGGGTTGAATACCATGCATTGTTACTGCTGTAAAAACAAGATTACTGATATCCGAGAAAGAAGTAGAAGCAAATTATTTTTGTTAGAGCTTTCCTGAGCCATATACCTGTAGTGTGTTCCCATGCTCTTAGTCTCCAAGAGTAAATTTTATTTTGCAACTGGTAGCCAAACACCATAAGATACACACACACAGAATTAGTAAGGATGCATACTTTGAATAATAGATTCATAGAATTGCAGAGCTGGAAGGGGCTCAAAGGGTCATTATCTCCAACCCCCTGCAATGAAGGAATCACAAGCGAAAGCATCCATGACAGATAGCCATCCAACCTCTGCTTAAAAACCTCCAAGGAAGGAGAGTCTACAACAGGCATAGTCAAACTCATCCCTCCAGATATTTTTGGGACTACAATTCCCATCATCCCTAGCTAACAGGACCAGTGGTCAGGGATGATGGGAGTTGTAGTCCCAAAACATCTGGAGGGCCAAGTTTGCCTATGCCTGGTCTACAAGCTCCTGAGGGAGTCCCTTCCATTGTCAAACAGCTCTCACCATCAGAAGGTTCTTCCTAAAGAATCCCCTTTCTTGTAACTTGAAGCCATTGGTTCGGATCCTACCCTCCGGAGCGGCAGAAAACAAGCTTTCTCCGTCTTCCATGTGACAGCCCTTCAGATATCTGAAGGTGGCTAGCATACGTCCTCTCAGTCGCCTCTTCTGCAACCCAACTCTCTCAGCCGTCATAATTGGGCATTAAGAGAATGAATGATCAAGGCTGATTTCAAAGTCAGCTTGAGTTTGTTTGTTTGTTTGTTTGTTTGTTTGTTTCATTCTGTAAAATAGTAATAATAAAAAATTGAAGCACTCACCTCATTACTGACCCAAGAGACGATTCACACACCTGCTTGCTTGCAACTGCTTCATTCTTTGGAATGGCATCCTCTCTTTGTGGCTGTGTCAGTCACTGTGGTTTTTGTGACTCAGATAGCATGCAGAATGCGCTAGTCTCAGTTAAGCGATAACCACCAAGTTGTACATCATAGGAGACAGCCAAGTGGGAACTCAAATAAAGCTGTTTTGGGTTTTACATATTGCTCTCAGGTTGCTGTGCGTCTCAGAAGGGACTTACCAACATGATAGATAGATAGATAGATAGATAGATAGATAGATAGATACAGATAGATAGATAGATAGATAGATAGATAGATAGATAGATGATAGATACCATCTGGGAAGTCAGAGATTTGACACTGAAATAACTGTTGCATTCTTGAAGGGTTGTAGGTTTGTTTGTTTTTTATCCCTTTTCAAATGGGCAAATCACCTGCAGGAGTCAGGAAGCATACCACAAGGGACTGGCTGATTTGTGCAAGAAAAGTGGGAACTGGCAGCTTTGGAGATGCGGGGTGTGATTCTGGAGATTCATGATATCTGATTTTGACTCGGAAGTAGCAGTGAACACACAGAGAGAGACACTGGAGGGGGGTTCTTTGTCCTCGCAGAGGGTTAGGTCTTTTGTCTGAACCATTTCCCCAATCTAATTGAAGCCCCCTCCTCCATACCACAAGCTACCCATAAGGGGGAAATGCAGGCACACAATGAAGAACTGCAGAGTTGGAAAAGACCCCAAGAGTCATCTAGTCCAGGCATAGGCAAACTCGGCCCTCCAGATGTTTTGGGACTACAACTCCCATCATCCCTAGCTAACAGGACCAGTGGTCAGGGATGATGGGAGTTGTAGTCCCAAAACATCTGGAGGGCCAAGTTTGCCTATGCCTGATCTAGTCCAACTCCCTGCAATCACATCTAAAGGAACCCTGACAGATCCAATCTCTGTTTAAGATCTTCCAACAAAGCTCACCACCTTCCAAGGGTGTCACAGGCCAGCTTCACCTGTTGAACAGCAGCCTGAAGAGGGAGAAGGCGGAGTGACTCCACCTGCAGCTGATCAGCCTTCTAGGACTTAGAGGAGAAGGCGCTGATGAGAGGCTTCAGCCTTCTTAAGCAAAGCTTCCAGCAGAAGTCAGGTGCTGGAAACAACGCTTGTCGTTCCTGGCTTCCTATTTGTCTTGGCCCTTGACCCCATGATCATCGGATTCTCTGACCCTTGGATTGTCTGGCTATGCAGGTTGCTGTTTGTCCAACCTTTGGACTGGACTTCTCTTTGGATGCTGATGCTGCCTTCAGGCAAGTACACCTCAGAGACTCTTCTGTTTGGCTGCCCTCCTGCTCCACTGAGCTCTGCACATCAAGCCTCAGCAACAAAACTACAGCAGTGGGAGTCTGTCCCACTGTCAAACGGTCAGAGAGATTTTGCATTTAATCGGAATCTCCTGTCTTGTAATAGGAATCCATTGGTTCAGGCCCAACAGCAGAAAGCAAGTTTGCTCCTTTCTCTGTGGGACAGCCCTTCAAATATTTGTAGGTGGCTATCATACCACTCCTCTCAATCTACTCTTCTGCAGCCTAAACTATACCTAACTCTCTCAACCATTCCTCTTAAGTGGTTTCCTTTCCAGATACTTTGGCTTAACCAGGTCAAGGACTCTGGCTTCTTGCTGGGTTAAGAGCTATGCTTGCCCTGTCCTTCAAAAGGAAGGTGCAGTGAGCATGTCGTTTGTTGGGTCAACATTTTAGCCAGTGGTCAGAGATCATGGGAGTTGTAGACGAGCAACATCCCTCGAGGGCCACAGGCCCCATCCCTGAACTATTCCGTGATGGCTTCTCCTCTACGTTCCCCTGCTATGGGGCAAAGAGGTTAGTTCTACATATCCCACAATGCATTGTTGCAGTTTATCACTGCTTTCTGATCCCGCTCCTCTCTCTTCTTTACCAAATGGTTTATGCCATTCTAACTTTCTTAATACAGTGGTACCTCAGGTTAAGTACTTAATTCGTTCCGGAGGTCTGTACTTAACCTGAAACTGTTCTTAACCTGAAGCACCACTTTAGCTAATGGGGTCTCCCGCTGCTGCCGCACTGCCGGAGCACAATTTCTGTTCTCATCCTGAAGCAAAGTTCCTAACCTGAAGCACTATTTCTGGGTTAGCGGAGTCTGTAACCTGAAGCGTATGTAACCTGAAGCATATGTAACCTGAGGTACCACTGTACTGCAATTCCTTAAAAATTCCGGAGCAGTTAACAAATAAGAATATCACACCAATAAAATGGATTTTCCTTTTGCCTGGCCTAGATATGCCTGGCCTAGATATCATTCCTTTCCCCCAACCGACCGAATTTTGTTGTTGGCTTTTGATCTGATTTCATCCTGATGTTAATTCTGACCCATTGTTCCATATTTATTAATAAATATTTCCCCATATTTATTTCTTAATGTCCTGATAGGCGCTGGGGATAGAACCTGGGACCTGCTGGTTGCCACTGAGTTACAACCAGGGCTTTTTTTTTCAGCTGGAACGCAAAAAAAAGCACTAGCTACAACCCTTCTTTGCAATGTGGGGCCTGCTGGAGGTTTTACTTTCTGGCCTTTTTGTGTCCTGATGCTGGCTTGCAGGGTGGGAAATGAAGTCATAGCCGATAGAGGAAGCTGTGACAGGGATTCCTTTTCTTTGCATGTTCCCTGCCCTACACAGATCTGCATTTGCAGGCCACTTCCCTGTTGAGGTTTGATCTCTGGTTCTTTAGAACTGCCTATTATTCTTTTTTTTTGGAAGAGGAAGAGAGGCTCAGCTGTGCAGGCAGCGACAGCTCCTCTGAACTCCTAAAAAAGAAAAAAGTAGACCCCATCTGCGCTAAACGTTTAGCTCCTGGGAACTGTGGTTTCCAAGCGTTGGTGGCATAGTGGTTAGTACAGCTGCTTTAAGAGTGCAGGTCAGTTCTGTGTCCAGGGCAGCTGTCTACCAGCTCCATCTGGTACGTAGGCTGAGACCCTATCTGCCTGTGGACTGTCTCGCCAGAGTGGTGCA